TTGCAGACACATTTCATATGCCAGACAATTGACCCAAACTGCCAATAAAATTGAGTAGAATGAAATGTAAATAAAAAAGCTTCGCTAATAGCCCGATTATGATGAGTGTATATGTGTGTGTGTGTGTGTGTGTGTGTGTGTGTGTGTGTGTGTGTGAGAGTTGCGGGCGATGACGTTGCCAATTTGAAAGATCTGCTCGATGAGATGAGCTACACATCAACCTTATGGATGTAATGAGAAAGCTATAAAATAAACAGTTGAATAATCAGCAATAATATGACTGCCTCGGGCTGAACACGAAATCGATTCGCTGGTAACTCAAAGAACAACAACAAAAACAACAAGAATTGTTAGCCGCCAGTGAAAATAACAAAAGAGAGATGAAAACAGGAACAGTTCAGTTGAACAAGATCAAAGCGCATAAGAGTAGCTGTCGTATTAAAATTGTGTTTGATAATTCGCTGAATAGGTGTGAATTTTGATGTGGCATTTGCCACTTGAACGCAACGGAACACTATTTTCAGAATATTTTATAAATATTGTATAAACTCAAAACTATTTTTGATTAATCAAATAGGCATGTGTTTAAGCAATTATTTCCGCATATTCTCTTAAGTTTGTCTTTCATTTGTTTTCTTGTTTTTATATGTCAGTTTATATCAATATTTTTTTTTTGTTTCCACTTTCCTTACATTTCTAATTGTTTGCCATAAAATTGTTGCCCCAAAACAGAAATCACATTTAATTATTTAGCTCCTAAAAGTTAGCTGAGCGCGCCAAAAAAAAATCACTTTTAAATTAAATAAATTATGCAACAACTGTCATTAATAAAGTCGAGCGAAAAAAAAAATCCCACAATGAATGAAGGTCAGCATAAAGCAGCATAAATGCAACAATAACAACAACAACAACAACATAAAATTAAAGTTGCATTTTGTGTTGAAATACCAGTTTTGTATTTGGTGAGCTGCACTTGAAATTAAGACGAAAACAACAACATCCAGTCGAAAGAAGATACCATTTAAGCTTTTAAAATCGTGGAAAACACAGAGTATTGCTTATGATTGTTAAATAATATATATATTTAAATTCTCTTACTAACTGCTTCACAAACTTACACAATTTTATTATATGCTCTTCTTCAAATTATAAATGCATATATGGCATACATTTTATCGAAATATTATACAAAAATTATCTATAAAGCGTCGTTGTTGATTTTCAGTGTAAATCATTTTGTGGCTGCATTTTCTTTGCTTTTGGCAACTAAATCGAAAATAATTTAATCAATGCGCCAAGCCCCAAAGTGTAGCTCAACAACTTTTTGGAGTTTGACTTTTGGAATTGGTGTTTTCACAGTTTTGTTGGAATTTTCCGTACGCTTTTGATTTGGGCCCATAATACTTTATAGTATATGTTCAATAAATATTCTCTTCTGTCAACATCAATTTTTGTGTCGCGATAGCAGTTTGAATTTCATTTCATATTTTCCAGGGAGTGGCTGTCTCTTAAGATTTTTTGTAATTAATCGCAGTGTGTGTACAGCAATTTATGGTATTTTCATGAAATTTTGATATCTTTCGAATTACGTGTGGGTTGCAGTCAAGCTGCGTCGATATTTTGTTTGGCATTGAAGTGCGTAAAAAAAAGTATAAAATACGTGTGTTTATAAATTTTCATATATATATATATGTGTGTGTGTGTGTGTGTGTGTGTGTGTGTGTGTGTGTGTGTGTGTGTGTGTGTGTGTGTGTGTGTGTGTGTGTGTCTGGTGTATTTGCCTACAGAGTGGCCATATATCAATTACAGTCACAGTCACAACAAATCGTGTGACAATTAAAAATTGGCATGCGTTCAACTGTAATAATTTGCATATGCCACGAGAGCGGCTTAGATAAAGAGCTCAGCAGCTTTCAATATAATAGCTACTTAAGCGCTTACTTAATTTAATCGCTGGCTTCCACTATTTAGAGATTTATGGCTGACAGCCGCACTCAATGTCATACTTAATAAGGAAAACAAAAGGCAGATCAACTCTTAAGAACTTGCTCCTAATCTTAATCTTATAGGTGGGCTAAATTATTAAATATACAGTGATGTATCTATTAAGAGAAAGCTGTACAAAGTAGGAAGTTTAGCTTGAGTCAGGTTTTATTTGTCGAGTAACGAAGTTGCTTAACAGTCAATTTCTAAAATGACGACACGTATAAAATGCTTTAATTATATATTCAATTAAAATGTTTCTATTTTTGAATCAATATAGTTAATATGGAATCAGATTTATATAAAATTATATAAGAATATAAAAAATTTTTAAATCTTTTGGCTTACTATAATTATGGATAGAAGATACCGTTTAAGTCAATTACAGGTAATCATTATCCTAGTTTGACATCAGCATTAAATTTTCTGTCTCGCAGCAAGACGCAGATTAAACTGTCAAAGTCTATAAACAGATTGTGCAGGCATAATATTTATATAAATATATATATATATATATATGCTATCAAGAGCAAACCAAATCCTTTCGGTTACTCGGTTATTATTGGCACTCAGCAGACAGCAGTTTGCCACAGCCGCTGTCGCACGAGTTATGGGAACAGTTGCCGGAAAACCGCCAAATTGGAACCAAAACAATACACCCAAATATGCTCAGACACGTGTGTGCGCATTTGGATGCCTTGTGTTGTGTTGTGCTGTGTGTTATTTCTCTCCTGCTACCTTTTCCTTATTTCACACCCACTCAACGGCAAAGTTCAGCGTAAATATTTGCATTTTGCGGCTTCGGTTCGTTTGCAGTGTGCCAAAATAAAATAACAGAAAAATCAATTTTTACAATTTTATTTTTTGGCAGTTCGTATATCGGGTTGCTAAGCAAGTATTTAGATTCGTTTAGGGTTGAGTGAACACAATTGGTTAAATCAATTTGAGAACCCGACGGATCTGAATACATTTTGGGAACATTTGAAGAGTTGGGTGAATTGGTTTAATTAGAAAGAAGTGTATATCAGCAGCTTGTCGCCAACCTGTGTAAACTCTTTCAAAAACTCATTGAACAACATGGCATAATATTTATTGTTTACAATCCATAATCTTAGCAAGCAAATATACAGATATTTCGTAGATTGTTTACAATTAGCCACATTATTAATGAATGGATTTGAGCTCATAAATACTAAACAGATTCAATTCGATTCGCTTTGATACGATTCAATGCGATTAGGAGGGCAATCGAAATGATTCCAAGAACAATCATATCAAAGGCGCTATCAACTAGCCCTACATATATATATATATATATTGGTGTTGATGTTGTTTTTGTAATTGTTGTTGTTATTACGGTTGCCGTTGGCGAGGTCAGCGGCACATAAACATGTCATAAATCATCCAGAAGTGAGAAGTGCGAGTTAAATGAAGGCGAGTTGCCATGGATTAAGGGTGGGGGAATGTCTCTTACTTCCGGTGGGGTCTGAATGTCCCACATTTAATATCCTGACATTTGTGAAATATTTGCAGTAGGTTTGCTTTTCGTTTTGGCCGGGTTTTAAGGCATGTGTTTATCCCTTAGCCGCAGTAGTAAATTCTCATTTCTTGTTCGATTTGAAAAGAGAATTGTAGGAATTTAAACTCTGTCAACAGCTTCATTAATTACAGTCAGTGCAGCCAGTGTTGAGCAATGGTCGTGCTAGCTGTCAAATTTGTCATTCATCAGATGCGCTTTGTGCTTTGTTGTTGTTGTCCTGCTCTTGTCCTTCCGCTGCTCCTTTTGTTTCTGACAGCCTGATGAGATCTGGTCACTAAATGGCTCATTTCACACAGAGAATAGGTCTCTTTAAGTTTTCTTAACATATATGAGCCATTTGTGCTTGATTATGAGCTTGAAATAGTTTAAGTGTTTGGAAAGAGATATTTTTAAGTATTTAACACTGTGAAAAATTGTATTAAAATGAAATCAGACATTTGAAACGGACGAAAGGAGTTGGATACAGTACAGTTTAAAGAAAAGTAGGACATGTATAATCATTATTTTGATTAGTGCATTATTAACGGGAATGGGCAGTTTGAAAAAAGTTCTTGAATAAAATAAATTTATTCGTAATATATGCAGAGTATACTAACAAAGTTTTAACTGGCTTTACATTAAAGCATATATAAATATTCAAATTTTAAATATTTCAAGCAAACATGATCAGTTAGATAAAATTTTCGTATACGTAATACTAATTTGATTTCACTTTTATACATACATGTATTAATTTTACGTGTTTTTTTGTATAAACTTTGTTTTAAGCCCACTGTGAACAGCATCAATCCACGTGCAATTTGAGAACTTTGTAAACTATTGAAAAGTTGGTAAATAAACAGCAACTCCACAAGAGACATCATAGTGAAGCGAAGCAAAGGGAACAACAAATCCAACAAATTGCAAACACAATGAAATGCAGCTGAAGCAGAAAGTGAACGTAAATCAAATAGAATAAAATAAATACAAATCAAAATACAAAAGTGAGCGAAAAACGGCGGTAAAACCAACGTGCGAAGCAAGAAAACCAGCAGCAGCAGCAGCAGCAGCAACAACAACTAAAACAAATACAGCAACAACAGAGAGAGGGAAAAATCATGAGCGAGAAACGAATTGCGCACAAAACTGTCATCAAATGACAAATGCTTGACAGCATCAATCAGCAACTGAGACGACAACGGCGGCGGCAGCAGCAGCAGCAGCAGCAGCAGAGGCAGAAGCAGAAGCAGCGTCGCCGACTGAGACTGACACTGATACCAGAGCCGAGACGATGGCAGCGCATTGCCGGCGCCGCCGCAAGCAACGCAGCGACGCCGGCAGGGCAGCAGTAGCGACAGCAAAAATAGCGGCCAGTTTACTGCTGCTGGCGTCTCTGTTAGTGTCGACCACAACAGCGATGTCGACGCCGACGCATTTGAATGCAACGGTAAATGTTGCCAGCTTCATTGAAACCAAAGAAAATCGCGGCACATCCAAGCAACTTAGCACAATTAGTGTCAATAATATGTCCGCCACACCTACCGCAACGCCCACAGCCAGCACTCGGCCAGGCATTAGAGAGAACGTATTGCTGCCCTCATCAGATCCAGAGCGTGAGGCGCAAATTCTGTACGAGAAGTCTCTGCAGGAATATCATGGCAGTCAGCGCGCTGCTGCCAGTGCCAACAACTACGATGACGTCGACGGCAACGGTGGCAGTGGCAGTGGCAGCGGCAGTGGCAGTGGCAGTAAAACATCATCTCGCACACAGCACAGCGTCTGCGAGCTGTGGGTGCAGAAACATTGCCACTGCAGTGGCAGCCTCGAGAATCTTAAGTTGAGTTGCCGCAGCATCGGCATCCTTGCGGTGCCTGTCAATTTACCCAGCGAGGTCTCGATTCTGTGAGTATTCAATACCCACATATTTATATATCTATTTGTTTACACTAGATTTCACATCGGGGTGTACGGGTATAAATGACAGCATCTATTTTCATCAATTAATCATCAGATTGCTTAACTTAAAGCTTAAACTATTCCAATATAAATGAAGATCACTTAAGGACACTTTTCAGCTTAACAACTAATAACTAATAATTAATTTAAATATTTAAGGTCATTGAATGAATGCGATGAATGGCTTGGAATTTGCTCACATGTAACTAAATGGATATGTGTGAATGAATAAGAATCAAACAGTGGAAACGCGTGCATTTGAATAATTAAGTATAAGATTCATTTTATGCCTTTTCAGACGTTCCTTAATGATTTTATCACCTTCTCCTATAGTTTTACCTCATTAGAATTAAGGAAATCTGTCGCCAACTAAATCGCTGATATTAAGCGTTATTTATCGATTTCATTATTAAGCGATAATTGGGGGGGAAACAGACTAAAGAGATTGAATCATTTGGTTGCGTGAATTCCTCATATTCCCCATTCGTATAATTACAAGTCAATTTCGCAGTGTTGTCGAATCGCTTTTCGTCTATGTTTTGGCATGCGGTTTAATCTAATTACACATACGCCACGTTGCGCGACGTTTCACAATCGATGCGTCGCTTGAGTTTCAGCATGAGTTTTCTTGTATGTAAGTCACGTTTTCTTGCCGCCAAAAACCTCTCAAAGGAGTTGGGCTCCGTTTTTGGTGGCCATGCAGCACCAAGCAGCAAACAGCAGCAACAAAGTTAACCACTGATTAATGGCCGAATCGAACGGGCCATAAATAAATAAATATATGTATATATCATTTATTAATTAACGCATCGCTAGGAGACAGTCAAACAGCCATAAGTCATTGGCTATCAAATTCAGCTTTAATTATGACGGCCTGTAAAATACGATACATATGTGACACTTTGCACACAGTTTGCATTTGCAATTGTTACCGCAGTTCATCTTCATTTTTTTGCCATTTTACTGTTTGCCACCCAATTCCGCCTTTTTGGCAAGTTCAGTCAAGCTAGCTCAATATGTTTTTTCAATGAGCCATTTATCAGTTGATTGATGGCCTACAGTTAGGTTTGGGCCCTCTCTATGCCGTATTTGGCAACGTTTAGTCAGCCTTGTTTAATCAGTGTAATATTTTATTAGCCGTGTGAGTGGCTTATTGAAATTGATAGATGGCCATCTTGAAATGATATTTGTGTGCACACATTAATTTGCTTATTATATTTATATTTTTTTGCTGTTTCTTTTTTTTTCATTCATAGAGATTTGGGCAACAACAATTTGACCAGACTGGAGGCCAATTCATTTTTCATGGTGCCACATCTCGAAGAGCTGTAAGTGTAACAGACGAAAAGGGGATCATGTTAAACAGTAAACTTTTTTATAAATGCCTTAAAGTTTTTTAAAGGAGGCGCGAAAAAATAAGGAAATTGCAACAAGCTTAATAAAGATTACATGCCCTCGCAGAGGGAAGCAAATGTATAGCTAATGGCTTCGAATAAATCACCCGTAATACTTAACTATAAGTCTGCTCGGGACCTCTGCCAGTGCGGCGGTTAATACAATTAAAATAATACATTCAAATAAAATAATCAATAATCAATATAATATCGATACATTAAGATACACAATGCTTATATTCTGATATTCTGCTAAATAGATATCACATATCTGTATTCCTCGCTTATCTAATATGTGTATGTATAATATTTATAGCTATTTTTATAAATTAACAAGCTCTTTGATATCTCTGATATATATATTGAATATTGTTAATGGTTACATTACGAGCCCCGACCCCTGTCTGGGCCACAGTATAATTCACACCATACCCACTGCCAGTTGTGTTTTTTTGTCCGAACCACAAGTTATTCCAACCACACTCCCGACCCCTTTTAATCTGTGAACTAAGCAGCCAGCGATTGTTGTAACACACAAAAATGTGCTCAACAACAAAAGCGACAAAAACAATGGTAACAAAAAAACTTTCATTGTTGCCTGTCATGAGCGCTGCAACTCATTATTCAATTTCACAGTAAGCCCTCACTTCCTTCTGATTCTTTAAAAAAATCACAGTGGTCAGTTGTGGACAGGGTTAGGGCTGGGGTTAGGACATGACAGTTTCTGGGCCGATGCCACGAGCTTTATAAATTACTTGATTAAATTCTGTGTATATGTATGAGTATTTCAGCAAGTTTGCAGGATTAATTACTCGGACTGTTATCCTTGCAATTTCCTTGCATTTTCCACTTTCGACTTTCGTTGTTGACGAAGGGAAGGTTTTTATTTGCAGAACATTGTCCGACAATAGCATCATTAATATGGATCCGAACACGTTTTACGGTTTGGCCAAATTGAAGCGTTTAAGCTTGCAAAATTGCGGCCTTAAGGCCTTGGCGCCGCACTCATTTCAAGGACTCAGTCAACTAGTCAGCCTGTAAGTATGCAATAAGCAGTTCAATTTGTTGTTTGTCGCTAAGTGTGTGTGTGTGCTTGAGTGAGTGTCTGTGTGCGTGTGTGTGTGTGTGTGTGTGTGTGTCTTAATGTTTGCTTTTAAGCGTTGCCAGAGAAAGAAAGAGAGATGGAGTGGAAGGATGCAACCGAAGGCTGCGACGCCTGCAGGATCAATTAGTACGCTTGCTACCATTTAGTTTGCTCACACACATATATACACCAACCAAACATACACACGCATAAGTATTAGCAGCACTTGCCAGCAATTACACGCTATTTTGCTCATATTTTACGCTTTTCTATTTCATTCACTCGTTTCGATTTGCAATCGTTAAAAAAAAAACAAAAACAAAAACAAAAACAATATATAAATACATTCGACACCACTGCACACACCTACACTCCACCCCGCGCGGTCAAACCCTTTAGTCAATTGAATGGCAACGCCCTGGTCAGCCTGGATGGCAACTGGTTGGGCAACTTGCAGCAGCTGCGCTCCCTGCGCCTCGAGGGGAATCTCTTCTATCGCATTCCAACAAACGCTTTGGCCGGACTCAGAACACTCGAAGCACTGTGAGCGTTTTTATTCTTTCTATTATTTGTTATTTCTTTTATTTACATTGCTTATTTTTGATTGTACTGTACAGCTTGCATGTTTAATTTTATGGCATTTTTGCTAATTCGCCCAACTAAATATATAATCCAACTTTTTGTCCATATGAATGTGAATCTAATTATGCCTGCATAATTTCGCATGTGCAATTAGCAAATTTTGTTTTGAACCAGAAATGTGTGTTTTATGTGCGGCTTAAGCTGTAAATATTTGCGGTTATAATTGAAATACATGAGCCAAATGAATAGTGTCAAATTGTTAATGCAATAAATAGGAGCTCACAAAATCCAACATTTAATTTAACTGTTAGAAAATGGTACATAATAATTTCAAATTATAACTATGATATTTTGAAAAGTCAATAAATTAAATAGTTATTCTACTACTTTAACATCTATTTCAATCTGTCCTTATTTTGAGTACATTTGTATGTCTTATCTAATGACATATTTCCAAGTAGTCTTCTTAAATTACTATCCTTCTGTTAATCGATTACTATATTCAAAGCTAGCATTAATTTGTTGAGCATGTTTTTGTCAATTCGAACTCTGAACCCTTTAAGATTTACAATTTCTAACAACAACTAAAGAACTTTATGCAATTGTACCCCATAAAAAGTTGAATAATAACCGAAAGCAGTTGCTCATAAAATTCACGATTATTCATTATTTCCCTTTTATCCACTTTCATTCATAATGCGACCTCATTAATGGAACGAAATGTAAAGCAATTTGGGCAGCAATTTGTTGACAATAATAAACGATGAGGATTTTCCCCGCATGCCAAACTTGATCGTGCTGTAAGTAATATTTTAGCTATAAATATGTTGATAACGGTCTGTATTTATTGTTTCTCTTACAGTTTACTGAAGCGAAATCAAATTATGAAAATATCAGCGGGTGCTCTCAAGAATTTAACAGCTTTAAAAGTTTTGTAAGTAACTTTAGCAAGAACAAATAACGTAAGCAATTTTTACATAAACACACACATACAAACATATATGCATATGCAGATGCCTTGACAGGACAGGACGGAACATGACAGAACAGAGTAGGATAATACAGAATTGGAGCGACCAACAAAACTGAAAGTGTTATTTAAGTCGAGTCTTAGACAATGTTGAAGTCATTTTTAAATACTCTAGTAAAAAGTTAACTAAAGAAGGAGACAGTGGAGTGAAAATACAGCTTAAGTTTTTATAAATAATGGAGAGATTAGCACAATAGCATTCAAATATATTAGAATTATCTGCCTAGAGATCTGTAAGAAAAAATCGCAACTTTTTAAATGATGTGCAACATTTAAAATATATGGAAACAAGCTAAAAATAAATGAATGCAATTTATATGAGCAGGAATCTATTTCTGTATAGAGTATGTTTATTTTAGATTATCCGTTGCACCGCAAACGTAATGGGAAAGTTCCATACTTGAGCACTTCACCAAAGTACAAACAGCAGCAAGTTGAAGTGCAAGTGGAAATGGTGTTTATCCGTTTCATTTTTGTTGTTGTTTTTTCTTTTGTGTTTGTGGAGCGAATAAATTTCAATTTTAAGCGAAACTTTTTTTTTTTTTGGTTTTGCGACAGCTTAAATTGTCGTCGTTTCGACGCCGCTGCTGACGTCGCAGTCGCAGTCGCAGTCGCGGTCGCGGTCGCTGTTGTTGTTGCTGTTGCTGTTGCTGTTGCTGTTTACCACGAATTTCTGGCTTTTGCATTGCATACTTTGAGGGCGTGTGGGAAAAACGCCGTTTGCCCACCTCGAGGGCTGCAGACGATGACAAATATGCAAATTTATGTTGTGGCTGCAGGACGTGGGAACTAAACTAAACAGACAAACTATGCGTGACAGGGGAGTGAGAGGATAAGGCAAACGTGCAACTGTTTAACGAGAAGCAGCAGCAGGAGATGAATGCATCGAGTGAAAGTGAAAAACTTTTGCCGTGCAACGCGTAAATCTGTGTTGAAAGTATAAAGAAATTTTCCGTATGCATTTCTCCAGAGATTTATGAGTTTTTTTACCCAGACTCCCTTCGGACACTCCCCAACAAGTTGCGTGTCTGTTATGTGTTCACCGAGTGAAAGTTGTCCGAGTTTTGTTTAATGCCAGACACGCACTACGACGACGAATAGGGAAATGAAAAAGTGGTGAGAAGCACAATGCGAGCTGTAAAGGATATCCCCATATATAAATATATAATATATATATATTTATATGGTTCCGTTAGTTTTAATTAAATACTGAACATTCTGCGGAGATAAGATTTTAAATTCATTAAATATTTAAAATATCAAATAGAAGTAACAAAAATTTAAGTTTTTTTTAAAGATATCGCTTCGAAAAACAATGCTAACAATTTGTATATAAATAAATAATACATATTTATTTATATATTATTTAAAAAGTTTTCCCCAACGAGTAAAATATATTCATGTTAAAAGAAATAAGAAGAAGCCCATTAAAGCATATATCTAATAATACATAGTACATAGTATATTGTAAAGGAGAAATAATACATATATATAATAATAATATTATTATTTTTTGACCCTCACGTATAATTGAAATCAATGCACTTTGTTGAAAACTAAATTTTATATTCATGCATAAATTTTGCATCCCGACCACACAATTTGAAGTGTCCGGGGTCGATCCAATCAGAATGTTACGGCTACGTGCGGACACGTACTTTCACAGACTGGAACCTCGAAAGGCGAACCGCAATGAAACCGTATGCAAATACACATGACTCATAAAAGAAATCAGAATATTTTTAAATGTTATTTGAAATGTGGTTCAATAATATTTGCTATATTTGTTTTTTAGGGAGCTGGATGATAATTTGATAAGCAGCTTGCCCGAGGGACTTGGCAAATTGCCCCAGCTGCAGGAGCTGTAAGTATCTATGCCAGGTGTTTTAAAAAGATTAACAAAACGTGGGTTGAGGAGGGCTGAATGAGAAGTGGTGAACTAGTAAGGACTTGCTGCAATTTGCTGCTTTGTTAAGTTGCCAGCACAACATTTCCTACTTTGTCAGGCGGCAAACAAGCGGAAACCAAAAATCATAACGCATCATTACTTTGTGAATTTACGATATAGCCCTTACACCCGACCACACACTTTATTCTATGAACTGCATTCGCCGTTGACTTGAGCCACATCCTGTAGCCATTGCAATTGCAACTCTTTTTGTTTTTCTTCATCGATAGAGTATATCAACTTAATCAAGTCGCTTGTAAGGCAAGTAGATTATTATGCATTTTAAGTTGAAAGAGAAACCGTTTTTAGATGTAAAGATGTGGAAGGAATCCAATGCAACGCATTTATTTAATTATCTAATAACGCACAAAACATGCTAAAATGATTATCAGTTTCAAACAAATAGCACAATAATTATTATTAAATATATCATTCATATTCGAAAGTCAATAATGTTGCCATAATTTTAATTAAACTTGCTTGAAGTTTGATAAACAATAATTTTAAGAGGATACTTTAGAGTATTCTGCTTCAGTCATTATTCCATCGATAGTAAATTGTAAGCAAGAGTATATAATAGTCGCTAATTCGATATTTTTTCAATCTAGTCGCAGTTGCATTTTGTTTGTGCCACACGCACTTCCTGCAAGTGGCAAATGCGGCAACTGGCAACTGCCAACTGGCGACTGTCATTGAAATCGTTGACATCGTTGCGACGGTTTTTGCCTTTCTCAACGTTTCTCAAATGTCTCCCCAAGGAAATTCAATTTCTGGTAAACAGGATAATTATGAGCATGTTAAATGTTGCGATAAAAGCCACGCTGCGATGCACTCAGCGTCGGCGACCCAGCCGAAGCATTGCTATCGCCATGATTGGGGAATTAAACTGGCAAATAAATTTGTTGCAGCGAAGGTGGGTGGGGGAGGGCCATTGGGGAGCTGGCTTTAGATATCTTGCACTTTTTCTTGGTTCACATGTGATGTGGTTTATTTTTTTTTTTGCTACCCACTGGCAAGAAAAACAAATTTAAAAGGATTAAGAACATTTTGTAGTGCTTGCAGTTTGTTAACGGCAAGTGAGGGATGCTAACAAAGAAAGTAAAAGAAAATCCAGGCAAGAAATTAAAACCGATAAACTCTGAGATTTCGTATGGACTCATGCTAGCTAATAAAAATTAGTTTTATGACTAAGCATTTAATGGGGTGAATGAAGTGAATGAGACGAAATTAATTATATACTTATTGATACTTAACAAAAGGTCAATAATTATATAAACAGGAGAAGTAAAAAAACAGTAAAAGTCGTTGCCAAAAACTATAAAATACGATTTTATTATTTTCGAGATCTTCAATATAACAAATTATGTTTTTTAATAGATGTTGTTCCCTACGATTTAAGAAATGTATGGAAACTCGACCTTAAATGTTGACCCACAAAAGTAAAGCACTTTAAAAGTTCACATGTGCATTTCCTGAATGTTGGCCAAGAAAAACTGAGAGACGATAACAAATTGTGCGCCCAAGAACTGATTTTATGCGTGGCAGTTGTCACACTGCCTTTTGGTTGCTGGCCAACTTGACTTTCAAATGCAGCTGCAACGCGCAAGTGGCACTTGTCAGCAGAGTGCATCTTAAAGATACACGCTAGATATTTCACAGATACGTATCTATCTTTTGCAGTTCCATGACTAGCAATCGACTGCGCTGGATTAACGACACCGAGCTGCCGCGAACCATGCAAATACTTGATCTGCGAGCGAATCCATTGTCCACGATCACAACGGGCGCCTTTCGTGGCATGGCCAAGCTAAGAAAACTGTAAGACCTTAAAGTTAATGATTCTAATTTAATTTATATGTATATATATGTGTTTGTGTGTGTATTGTAATTTTAGTATACTTTCCGATGTGCGCACTTTGAAGAACTTTCCCGAGCTGGAAGGCTGCCATGCACTGGAGATACTCAAATTGGATCGGGCGGGCATACAGGAGGTGCCCCCAAATCTGTGTCGTCAAACGCCAAGACTGAAGAGTTTGTAAGCTAAAAGAATATATATATTTTACTTAAGATCAGATCTAATCTTGCCATTTTTCACAGAGAACTTAAAACCAATTCCCTGAAAACCATCCCAAATTTAAGTAGCTGCAGAGACTTAAGGCTGTTGTGAGTTTACAAAAGTTCACAACAAAGCGATATGAAATTCTAGAATATTACTTTTCAGAGATCTATCGAGTAATCAAATCGAAACACTGCATGGACGACCTTTTCATGGGCTAAAGCAGCTGCATGATCTGTTGCTCTCCTACAATCGCATCAGGTCCTTGCCACAGGATGCCTTTCAAGGAATACCCAAACTGCAACTGCTGTAAGTGAACCGATCACCTCTATAAAACAAATAGCTCGTAACTAATTTTCTGTTGTTCACGCAGTGATTTAGAGGGCAATGAGATTGGTTCAATACACAAGGATGCTTTTTCCGTATTTACGGCTCTGGAGGATCTCAATTTGGGTAATAACATATTCCCCCATCTACCGGAAGCGGGTTTGCGGGCTTTACTGCATTTGAAGACATTTAATAATCCGAAGCTGCGAGAGTTTCCCCCACCTGACACCTTTCCACGTATTCAGACCCTGATCCTATCCTATGCCTACCACTGCTGTGCCTTCCTGCCCCTGGTGGCGATGTCTGCCCAGCGGAAGACCTCGCAGGTCCAGGAAGCGGTCCTATTTCCCTCAGATGCGGAGTTCGATATGACTCTGTGGAACAACAGCATGATGAACATTTGGCCACAGATGCGTGAGTAGTCAATTTAGGTTGAAAAATAAAATTCTTTAATAGCAAATATATGCCGAATTGGGATTTTTTCAAATTCTAAAATTCTACAAATCCTGAATTCTTAACTTGAACTCCAACTGAAAGAGAAACAGAGCCTAATTTAAACAAACTTTATTTTCACACTAATTTTAATCGAATTTATTATTTAAAATATGAAATTCAGGATTTATTTAAATAATTTAATTCTACAGAATTAAATTTAACGAATTTAATTCCAAAAATAATATAAGTCAAATATTACAAAATAAAGAATTTCAAAATATGTATTATGTTTCAACTGTTACATTAATTTTTTACTTCTCGCAGATAACCTCAGCAAGCAGTTGGGCGCCGCCATGCACGATCTGTGGGATTCACCAATGAACAACTACAATCTGAATGAGGATTTGCAGCAGCTGCCCACTGGTAGCCAATCCCCCAGCAGCTACATGGAGGAGTATTTCGAGGAACATGATGTGAGTGCTCCCGGCACTGGGTACGGTTTTGGGTCTGGTCTATTTAGTGGCATTACGGCTGATGATCTGCAGCCGGGATCTGTGCAGTGCTTACCCATGCCGGGTCCTTTTCTACCATGTGCGGATCTCTTTGACTGGTGGACACTGCGCTGCGGTGTTTGGGTTGTCTTTCTGCTGGCACTGCTGGGCAATGGAACCGTTGTCTTTGTGCTGGTCTGCTCCCGATCCAAGATGGATGTGCCAAGGTTTCTTGTCTGCAATCTAGCTGCCGCTGACTTCTTTATGGGCATATATTTGGGCATCTTGGCCATTGTCGATGCAGCTACATTGGGTGAGTTTCGCATGTTTGCGATACCCTGGCAAATGTCGCTGCTCTGCCAGCTGGCTGGATTTCTGGCTGTGCTCAGCTCCGAGTTATCCGTGTACACGTTGGCGGTGATTACGCTGGAGCGCAATTATGCGATAACCCATGCGATACACTTAAACAAGCGTCTCTCGCTGCGCCAGGCGGGCTATATTATGAGTGTTGGTTGGATTTTTGCACTGATGATGGCGTGTCTGCCACTTCTTGGCGTCTCCGACTATCGCAAGTTTGCCGTCTGTTTGCCATTTGAGACGACAACGGGTGTGGCGAGTCTAACATACGTGATCAGTCTGATGTTCATCAATGGCTGCGCATTTCTCACACTTATGGGCTGCTACCTGAAGATGTACTGGGCCATTAGGGGTAGCCAGGCGTGGAATACGAATGATTCGCGAATTGCCAAACGTATGGCTCTGTTGGTGTTTACGGATTTCCTCTGCTGGTCGCCCATAGCCTTCTTCTCCGTTACGGCCATCTTTGGACTGCAACTCATTTCGCTGGAGCAGGCGAAGATCTTTACGGTTTTTGTGCTGCCATTGAATAGCTGCTGCAATCCGTTCCTCTATGCCATCATGACCAAGCAGTTCAAGAAGGATTGTGTTACGCTCTGCAAGCATTTCGAGGAAACACGTGTGGGTGGCGCCGCCACGGCCGCTCGTGCCGCTCGCGGAGCCGGCAAACGGGGAGCGGGCGGTGAGCTGCCGCCACCTTTGCTACCTGTCACGGGGGTGGCACATCCGCCGGGCTGCCGCTGCCTGCGCATGCTGCCCAGCGAGATGCCCAATTGGCATAAGATGGAGCGTGAGCCGACGCTGTGGCAGCGACTCAAGCGTCTCTGCTGTGGCAAGCATAGTCGCAAGCAGCGACGCCAGCCGCAACAGCGACGTCAGCGTGCCTACACAGCAGCCGCCGCCAATCCGTATCAGTATCAGTTTGCGGAGTTGCGACAGCAGCGCAAGAATCGCGCCAGTTCCATTTCCAGCGAGAACTTCTGCAGCTCGCGCAGCTCCAGCTGGCGGCATGGTGCCAACTCATCGACACCGGCACCCCAGGCGAACTGCAGCATGCCACTAAAGCTGATGGAACCCGGCCAGGGTCATGCCCATGGCAGGCGACGTCACTCTGCCTGGCTAATCACCAGAAAGACCTCCCAGGACTCCAATCTATCCAGTTCGCGCAACGACTCTTCAGCATCGGCCACAACAGCCAGCACTTCCACATTCCGACTGTCGCGCTCCAGTGCCGGCAGCAGCACTCCACTGCCCTCCATAGGTGAGTGTACGGATCAAAGATCGTTTTATCTGATCTACTCTCTAAAGATTTATCTAAGCTTAACTAGGACATTAAAGAATAATTTGATTTAAATTTTAAAATGCTTAGAAAATAGGTGTAGAGGAACGTATAATCTTTGGATATATTTTAAGACTATTCCATAAGTGAAATGAAATTAAACATATTGAAATCCCTTGTTGCAGCTCACAATGGCAAGCAGCAGCATGAGGCATTGAGCAAGCCGCGACTGGTGCGCCAGGAGGCGGTGCAGGAGGAGGAGGATTCTTCGCCGCCACGTCTGGGTGTGCGATTTCTACCCACCATTCCCTCCGCCGCAGACAGTTCAGTTGTCTTGGATGATGGGGATTCGGCGGGCGGTGCATTTATGGGCATGCCGCTTCCTGGAGTCTCGAGTGGTTTTCTCGTGATGCATTCGCCACCAGCAGCCCAAATGCAGCCGGAAAAGCCACCACCAGCGCCAAATGATGCACCGCCGCCGCCATGACCGGGTAGCTCTCCGAGGTCTTGGGGTAGCTGGAAGCGAGAGGGTTGGGGGGGAGTGGGAGGAGGCCAAGAGGAGACCTTCTTGTAAACTGGGGAACAGAAAGCTCACTGTGTTCATAGATTGTATTCGGGGCATAGTGTAATATATTGCAACTGGCCGTGTTCATCCATACAAATAATCTTAAGTAGTCAATTTGTTGGGTTCGAGTCAAGGATACCAATTTCACAAAATTTCATCGATTGGATCCAAGCGACATTTAAACACGAGTATTATGTACTACATATATGTATGTAATTTATTAATAGATGTACGCTTTAATTAAGTCCACTATCTATAGACCAGCATATATATGTATTTAGTGTATAGTCTAGATTAGTTGATATATGTCTATATTTCGATATGCGCGTAAAATATTTGCAGAATGCTAAGCATTTGACGACATTACTTGATGAGATGAAATTAGTTCTATATACACATAGAAAACGATTGATATGAAACCGAAACCAAGCCATAAAATATTAAAGTTAATCTATTTACAGTAAGTTTGTCATCATATTTATTGGGGAAACTATTATTATCAAGAACATGATTCTAGCTGGTGTTTTCTTCGTAAGTTAAAATTGCAGTCTCTTTCCCAGTAATCAGTAAGACGATTGTCGCATTTGATTTTCATTTATGTATTTATATTGTGTACAGAAATCATTATTTGGCTTGCATACCCATATAGAATGGAAACAATTCAAAATCTAAATTATGAAATAATAAGAGGTGAAGAATTGATTTACCTAATGCAATCGCAGGTGCCTCAATGCTTTCCAAATGGTGTAGTGAAAAAAATGATAAGCTTATTCAGTTTAAATTTGAACGCGTCGGATGCTAATTAATCAAAATTGTATTCACTCCAATTCCGTATGCGATGCTCATTTTATTAATATACATATACAAGCTAATACATTTTTTTTTCTGTATAATAGCGGAAAATTAGAACCAATATGCTAAGGTCGCCAAATGACATAGGCTTACAAATCTTATTTGTATAATCATTAGTTTGTAATAATTTATAAGACTATTTCTGTTGTTTTGTATTTGATTTATGTTACATTAAGCAAAATAACTTGTAATTCAAGAGGAAAATGTTACGAGTTGAAACAGTTTTGGTAAATGCTAGCTATTAGTACTTATCGACTAATCGCCCAAACCGTCCTCTCGGTCACTGGGTAGTAGCTCATCATGAGCCATGCAGACGCCATAACTGGGATTCTCGATGAGGTGTACCTGTTGCTTATCCTTTTGCGCTCGCCTGCGCTGCAGAAACATGCGCGTGAGTAGCACCGGCAACATTATCAGGACCACACAGAGCAATACCGTCAGCACGAGTTGCGTCCAGCTGGAGAAGCCGCTGGCTCCAACTGTGGAAAGAACATGATAGGTTTGCTGCTCACAGATTTCGGGCGCTACACAGATGCTGTCCTTGTCACAAGGCTGGCTACAGTAGGGTGCACATTCGGTGGTGCTGCCCTCGATGAATCTGTAGCCAAATAGGCAGGTGCACTCATCTGGTCGCAGGCACTCGGCGTTGATGCATCGCTTCTTGCACTGAGCGCGACACAGTTGCGGTTCACTGGAGTTGGTCACCTCATAACCGGCACTGCACTCACATTGTCCCGGTGCAGTGCAGCGTCCATTCTCGCAGGCCGGACGACAGCTGGGAATGCACATATAGCCTTCTTTGGTATCCTCATAGCCCGGCCAGCACTCGCAGCTGTTGGGCTCCACGCAGGTGCCATTTCTGCAGCTGGGCGAGCAGACGGGATCACAAATCGAATTGGAGCCGGCCCTCAATTGATAGCCCTCATAGCAGCGACAACGTCCTGTGCCGCCCTCGCACCGACTATTGATGCACTTCTGAGCGCAGTGCGGCTCACAGGTGCCGCTGGGCCAACGATTGGCAAAGCCCGGCTCACATTGACAGATCTCGGGCGCAATGCAGCGACCAAAGCCACAATTCATACTGCATATGGGCTCACACACAAAGGGATCATTGGCACTGGGACGATGGCCGTTGAAGCAGCGACAGAGATTGGGACCCACACAGCTGCCATAGATGCAGGATCGATTGCACTTGGGTACACAGTACGAGGAAGTCAGCGCTTCGTAGCCCGCCAAGCAGGAGCACACATCTGGACTGCTGCAGATGCCATTATAGCATCTCTTCGAGCAGAATGGCTCACAGTGTGTGTCGCTGCCATTGACTCGGATATAGCCCTCTTGACAGGTGCAGGTGTCTGGTGCACTGCAGCGAGCATTGGTCCCACAGGCCGGCTGGCAAACAGGACTACATTGATGGGGAGATAGCTTCATGTAACCCTTGTGGCACTCACAGCGACCCGGTGCATTGCAGAAGCCATTCTCACAGCCCTGACGACAGCTGGGAGTGCAAACATGGTGGGAGCCATTGAGCGGCACATGCCCATCGTGGCAACGGCAGTGATTCGGTGCCGCACAGCTGCCGTTAACACAGGCTGGCTGGCAGACGGGCTCACAGCCGGCAGAGATGCGTCTGTCCACATGCACATAGCCCACATTGCAGACACACTGTTCCGGCTGCATGCAGAGACCATTGCGACAGCCGCTGCTGCACACCGGATCGCAGCGTTGGTGCTGATGATAATTCCAGTGCAGCTCATAGCCGGCATGGCACCTTATCTCATTGGGAGCCACGCAATCGCCGTGCTCCGTCTTGTCCACGCATACGGGCACACACTTGCCGAGCGTCTCATTCCGCTGGTAGCCCGAGTTGCAGACACACTGCTGCGGCGTCACACAATGTCCGTTGGTGCAATCTGTGGCACCACAGATCGGCTCACAGACGCTCTGACTGTCGTTGCGGAAGCGAAAGCCCTCCAAGCACTGACAGACATCGGGCGCGGTGCAATTTCCATTTATGCAGTGCTCACTGCACTCAGGCAGACACACGCTGCGATTCTTCTGGCTTTTGTAGCCCTGGCCACAGATACACACCTCCGGCAATATACATTTGCCGCCAGGGCCACAATCATGACACTTGGGCAAACACTCGCTGCTGCAATAGGGTCAGAGAAAGAGGAGAGAGACAAGTTGGCGACAATTTTAATGTTAACGTTTTAGACATCTGTTTAGTGTCCACTTACTTCTTATCCTTGCGCTCGTATCCCTCACAGCAGACAATATCGATTGACATATATGTCTATTTTAGAATTAAACAAAAGTTAATTAGTGTTGAATCAATATCGCCTTTGTCTGCCATCTAATATCTACTTTAATCTATCTATGATAATTCTAAGCCAACAAAATTTTATTTTAAATATTAATATGACTCAGATTCAGAAAATATGTATATATATTTTCAAACAATCATGAGTCCTAGGGACATTCAGTATTCAGATTGATTGACATTATATTTAATTGTTTATATATCGTTAGACTCAAACACATTTTAACTTTGCGATCTATTAAAATAGTATATACAGATTTATGTTTTCCATATGTTCTATTTGAACCGTTGTGAAGAGAGCTGTACTTTTTTTGATTCTCTAAATGTCTTTGTTAAAATATAACAGATATTATTCCGTCGTTGGATTATTAAAACTGGACACTTCTTATGAGACTTCACTGGAGCAAAAATTGAATTTTGTTGTTAGTTGATTGATAGTTAAAATCTGCAATATTAATTATTTCTCCATCAAGCTGTTTTCACTGTAATTACCACTGATGAATTATGTCATACTTAAAAAAAAAATACAAAGCAATTAAATTAAAAGAGTCTTACTTAAGCGATTTATAAAATTAGGTAATCAACAATTCGAAAAGCGGAAATTTATTGCTATTCCGATTATCCCAATATTCTTATCAACATTTTATTTTTAAATTAACATATAGGATCTGAATACATACCTCACTGATGGGTCGCACCACAAAGCAGTCACTGGTGCAGTTGCTCGGGCCATGATATTTGCGCATGGTCACCGGAATTGTCCTCGTTTTCAATGCTCTTTCGAATTGTTTTGGATTAGCTTAGCGCTCGGAAGGATATTTCGGAATTACTTACGGCACATGTTCAACACACGCATCAATTTGTAACCAGAAGAGGCCCATGCTCACTAAACACACGATGAGTATTCGCCACATTATTGTATTTTGCGTACCAGTCGCTTTAATGCACAATTTACAAATGAACTGACAAATGATATTTCAATTGCAGCTCAATGAGCGAAAGAGGCCAGACTTCTGTGCTTGAGCTTATCAAAGAGCTATGCATAATATATAAATGCGTATACATATGCGTTTGTTGAACCCAATGTTTCCAAAACAACGACCTCATCCTCATCCAACAGCCGGATGGTATTTGTGATACGCCAAAAGTTGCAGAGGTCCTTAACATTGAGTATAACAAATGAATTTAATGATTTCGTTCTCGTGCCTGTACTTTAGCAGTGCGCACTTATGACATCAATGCGAAATAAAAGCCTATATATACATTTGTCATATTTATTAAAACATGTTTTAAACATTACGAATAATTGTTACTCGATTGGAGCTGTAAAACTCAAAGCGTCTAAACACTTCCTTAGTTTAGAGAGCAATTGTTGTTGATTAATAAAGACAAATATGTTGGTAAAAGCAGCTAACAGCAGCAAAATAAACAGCAACAATTATATTTATATGCTCTTCATGCTAATCTTAAATTGCAATCGGAATACTTTGCAAATCTTGCTTATTTATGTCCCCCTTAAGAATCTAAAAGTAAATGAATTAAAAAATGCAGTTTTTCAGTGTTTATTTTAGTAACATTTAAATTCATACATTCAATTCAATTCTATATAACGTCTTCTTATTACAACTCATTATTTGATATTTTTTCATAATACTAGAAATACTATTGGAATAGCAACGAATAATGTTACCTTGGCAGCGGATGATGAGTGTGACCAGCCCATCTGAACCAAAATGAGCTAGCTGCGGTGTAGCATCGATACTTAGGCACTAATTTTAAAAGATCTTTCTGAAATGTGATCACAGTTTACTGTTTGTTATAAAAAGCTAATTGAATACTGATTAAACAATATTTTAGAATATTTAGAAAATAAATTTAAATCAATATGAAGCATTGGCAAAAATTACATGTTTAGAAAACATTTGGGTAAAATGAATGAATAACTTATGCATTTATCGTAATGTCCTTAAGAAGGGTTATTGCTCATTCAACAGCTATGCAAGTACTACATGGTTTTCCCAATCAATAATTCTAAAATAGTTATTGTTTGGAGAGTTGCAGTATCTAAAGGCAACTCAGAGCTATAAAATTCATTCAGCATACCTGTGTAAGTCAGTTTCCTTTCGAACTTCAAAGCGCAAACAAAAAGAACTATTGTGAAAATTTATAACTTAAAATGATCGCATGGATTGAGCTGGAGCTGAAACTAATATGCTGATATACTAATATGCTCCTGGTATATTTGGAAAATAGCTTGTGCAATCCACTTGTGTGGATTGAAAAAAACACTTCCTATGTCCTATGTCAGTGTCTCACTTTCGATTGAAGACTAGTGGAGGAGTGGAAAACGCTTCAGTCAATGAAACTGTTACTTGTAAGAGGTAAGGTCAATCTATATATAAATATGAATGCATGTGTGAAAATGGATTTCTTTGGTCCACAGATTATTGAAAAGAAAGTTAGGTTAGCGTAATTGCTTTTCCAAATGCAGTCTGACTGTGTGAAAGGATTCGACGGCCATACGGAATAATGTGATGATAATTGTGGATCGCACACTTATTGCCCCAATCCTGGTGACATGTGCCTTTGCTCTCCGGATTACACCAGATCAGCGAAAAACGAAACAAATTGTAAACAAAAATGCAATGCGGACTGTGGACTTAGTGAACACTGCGCCAGGCTAAATATCTGTGAGTGCAACGCTGACTATGAGGATATAGACGATGAGGAATGTAAGGAAACAAACACATGCGACTGCCTGTAGAGCTTCAAGAGATATGATACGGAATTTTGTGTGACACATTGTTCCAATCCACGTCAAAAAAATAGTTCCTGTGCCAAGCCAGAGGTGTGCCTATGCAAATATGGCTACCAGGTGGATCCGCAAGGCATTTGTCAGCCGATTTGCCCGCAGAGAATGAATAGTGCGTTCAGCCTAATGAAAGTGGGTGAAACGATGGCTTTCAAAATAATACAAATGTCAGTTGCGAGCCCATTTATTCTATAGAGTGTGAAGAGAACAGCTTTTGTGTGAAACCAAACGAGTGTCACTGTAAGTTAGGCTTTATGGGTAAGGATAATCGCTGCTGGCCAAGTGCAGTATCAAGTGCGGAGATAACAGCTATTGTGTCCTGTCAGACAAATGCGAATGCATTGCTGGCTATAACCAAAATGATTTAATATGGCAGCGGATTTCATTACATTCGGTGGCATCGTTATCTTCTTTGGTGTTGAAGAACTTGTCTTCTGTATTGCGCTATAATAAACCAACTTACTCCTCGAATACGGATATGGCTACCATCTAAAAACACAGATGATATATATGTTACAATACTGGAAAGCATTGAAAATAGCTCCTAAATGTAAAGTATTAATAAACTCAAGGCTAAACATAATTATTCATTAAATAAACAGAAAGTCAAATATGTTTGGACCTATCGTAATCAGTATAAAAATGTTGTTACAGCAAAGCTTATTACAATGTATAGATAAGTAATCAACACGAACAACCAAATGCCCTTTTCGATATACATGAATTCTTTGTGACTCACAAAAATGTATAAAAGCCTCAAGTAAAAATTATTTATGAGTTTTGCATCTTGTTAAATCATTGCTACTAAGCACTACTAAGCTCATTGTGTTTCCACTGCAAAGCAAAATATATCAAAATAATCGTCCAAGTATTTTCTTTTTCTTTTTGGCATGCATAATATTTTCGTGTACAAAGTACATCGACTAAAAATGTCCATTCATTTACATACATTTTAAGTGATTTCATTTAATTATTTCTTTCTTCTTTTTGTTCGCTCTTGATAAAATTGTAATATCCGTCTCAAGGTCTTCTACTATACTGTATCATTTGGAAATTATATAGTAGAGAGAAATCTCTTTACTCTCTGGGTTATACAAATAGCGTTGTTGTTAGATTGCATATACATTGTTATTATAGCTGCTTAACATATTTTTTTTTCTTATATCAGCTTGTTAAAAACAGAGTAATGAACGGATGTGTGAGAAATAGAATATGGCAAGTTGTACATTTGATCCGAGCCTCAGTTTAATTCGAAGCGCGCTCCTTTATGAAACATAAATAACAATTTTATATAAAAAAGTTTTTAACATAAATTCGAGTTTTACGATGAGTAGCTGCTATTATTTTTGGGCTAGTTTTTTCCTAGTTTGTTGCCATTTGGCAACTATCAGTGCGTATGGAAAACATGTGTGCAGCCAGCTGAAATACGTTACCTATATGGGACAGCCAATGTATTCATATAATTCTTGGTGGCATAATTCGCACGAAATGTACCGACCGGTTTGTTCCCAATCACCAATTCTAAAAGCTTTAAATAAAATGAGCGCTCTTAATATATATTATATTATATTAAATATAAATATAATTATTGATGGGAGTTTTTTGTTTATAGTATATGGTAATACAGAACAAAGCATTATATATAAATCATAATTTTGAAGAATATTATTAGAAAATAAAATGGAAAAAGATAAATCAACCCACACAGTTTATTATAATGGCAAAGAAATGAACATACTGAAAAAGTAAGTCACGTTAGCTAAAAAAAAAAAATTTAAAAAACAAATGCATGAAATGGACTTTGTCATCTTATTTAATTTTTTACGTTTTGTTTAGCACACATACATACAGAATACGTATATAAACCTAATCCACACAGTTCATGTATAATTTTTGTGTAGGGCCTATCAAAATAAACGGATGTGCAAATCTGTAGCCTTAAGCAAATATGAGCCTAAGTCTAAGCTCAGTTGAGTTTGGAGCGAGCTAGTGAAGTGTCCTCACATGGGAGATGTGACAAGTCTCGAAATAAATACTATTTTGAAAATTCGACAATGAAGTGTATATATTTTTGGACGTATTTCTTATTAGTTATGATTGGGTGTTGTACAACAACAGCACTGCTGCTAAATGTGTGCAGCCAATTGAAACAAATTACTTATAGTCAATGGGTACCAAAAACTAAGATTATTAGTTACTCTGAAAAAGTGTTGTGGTTTTGGAAAAGACAGCAAAGAATCGAAAGTGTTGAAGTGCCCGAGGTGAGGCAACGAATTCAATCAGTTTTCAGAGAATTTAATTTAATCACAAAATACACTTTTTTGTTGTTAAAATGTGCTTGGGTGTACTCCACACAAAAATAATTGAATGTTAGTCAAGATACTATATTTATTTATATTTTATATATATCATTTTTGATTTATTTTTATATTTTAGATATTTATGTTTGATTGCTGCATTTATTATTTGAGCAAACTTGGTTATTTCTAATATATTTTCTATAAGTATTTTTCTATACAACAAATTAAAAAAGTGTATTGAGGTATTATAACTTAAAAAAAAATATATATTTACAACTTTTATTTTTATACTTGCGTGTGACTTAGACGCGCTACAGATTTGAGACACAATATCACTGCTGTGCTGGCTACGAAGGATCAACAGATAACTGCAGGCCCATATGCCGCAGAGGCTGTAAGGGACATAGCCATTGTGGAGCTCCCCACAAATGTGTATGTGATGAGGGATATGCGGGTGCAAATTGCAGTCCAGTTTGTGACGGCTGTGGCAAGCACAGTACCTGTGAGGCGCCTAATAGGTGCGTCTGCAAAACGGGCTACACGCGAATTTACGGAGAAAGTGACTGTGTGCCGCAGTGCATCCAGTCATGTGGAAATCACAGCTTCTGTTCAGCTCCAGACATTTGCGAGTGTCAATTGGGTTATAAGAGATCCTCGCCAAGTGCCCCTTGCCAGCCGGTGTGCAAGTCCAGCTGCGCTGCCAACAGCTACTGCAAAGAACCCAATCTCTGCGAGTGCCACGATGGATACAAAGCGGAGGCGGGCAAATGCAGACCCATCTGTGAACCAGATTGTGGACCTCACAGTAGCTGTGTCAATCCAGGAAAATGCCAATGTGATGTGGGTTACAATTGGAATGCCAATATTTCCAGCTGTCAGCCTGTGTGCAGTGTAGCATGCCCGGAGCACAGCAAATGCCAGGAACCTGAGCTGTGCGTCTGTGCTGTCGGCTATGCCCAAAGGGATCAAAAGCAATGCGAACCGCAGTGTTCCAAGGGCTGCCATGACTATGCGAGATGTGTGGCGCCGGATAAGTGTGTATGCTATGATGGTTATGAGTTCTCCGTAGAGGAGCAGAAGTGTCGGCCCATATGCAGTCAAGGCTGCTCGCATGGCTATTGCTTTGAGCCCGAGTTGTGCGCATGCAGTCCTGGTTACCTAATGGGCCCGAACAACACCTGCGAGCCGCAGTGCAGTCCCAGCTGCGTTCATGGCATCTGCAGCGAACCAGAGACTTGTGTCTGTGAACCTGACTATCGTTTCGCAGAGGACTCCCAGCACATCTGTGAACCCATCTGCAATCCTGCATGTGAGAATGGCGACTGCAAGGCGCCACAGCTGTGCATCTGCCATATTGGGTACGTGCCAGGGGGAAAAGATGGCTTTCAACATGTGTGCGAGCCCAGCTGCCAGATGACCTGTGTGAATGGTACTTGCCTGGCCCCGGAACAATGCAGCTGCAACGAGGGATTTGTTCCCGCTGATGGTGTCAGCGAAACGATCTGCAAGCCCAACTGCAGTCAAGGCTGCTCGCATGGCTATTGCTTTGAGCCCGAGTTGTGCGCATGCAGTCCTGGTTACCTAATGGGCCCGAACAACACCTGCGAGCCGCAGTGCAGTCCCAGCTGCGTTCACGGCATCTGCAGCGAACCAGAGACTTGTGTCTGTGAACCTGACTATCGTTTCGCAGAGGACTCCCAGCACATCTGTGAGCCCATCTGCAACCCTGCATGTGAGAATGGCGACTGCAAGGCGCCACAGCTGTGCATCTGCCATATTGGGTACGTGCCAGGGGGAAAAGATGGCTTTCAACATGTGTGCGAGCCCAGCTGCCAGATGACCTGCGTGAATGGCACTTGCCTGGCCCCGGAACAATGCAGCTGCAACGAGGGATTTGTTCCCGCTGATGGTGTCAGCGAAACGATCTGCAAGCCCAACTGCAGTCGAGGCTGTGAGAATGGCATTTGTACAGCACCAGATGAATGCCAGTGTTTTTCTGGCTATGAACCCACTGAAGATGGTTGCGTGCAAGAATTAAAGTTGACCACATCGATTGAGACAACAACATCTTTCAGCTCAACTGCACCTCCAGATTTGCTTCAGTTGCCCTCAACGAATTGCACGGACAACTGCAACTGTTGGCAAGAATTGACCGAGTCGGATGATGTTGCCCTCAAGTGCGCCAACACATGCATGGATGACCATGATCAGCCCTGTTTAGAACTCAGCCAATGTCGCTGCGATAGTCGATCGCTGCTCTGCAACATTGAGCAGCTGGAGCAACGCTTTGTATGCATGATGGCCAAACAGCTAAGCCAATCAATTAACAATCAACAGGTCTGGAAAGAGGCGGCACTCAGCTTCTCCAAGACGGCGCCAATTGCAGCCATATGGCCTGCGGTTCTCGCTTGGTGCTCTGGCATCTGTTTATTGTTGCAAGTGGTTAGAGTTTAATGGCTATAGAGACAATAGTCTCATTTGAAACTTAATATACATATATATAAATAATAATGTTTTGCATCCATTTGTATTTGCATTTTTTTAATCTTTATATAACATACTACTATACAAATATAAATAAAGTTTGTTATATATATATATATTTATATATATTTACTTATTTTGAATGGCATTTGTTTAAGATATGATAACATTCATGAACTAGTTGTATCAATGACATCCCATCTGCTCTATTATACTTATTGACTTTTAATTTGAATTTTATTCTTTCTATAAATCAATGTCGTCGATTTGAATATTTTTATATTACACAGAAAAGAGTTTATAGGAGACCAGGGCTATGTGATTTTTCAAAATTAATTCGGACAGCACCCATTGATAAACAAATTCATTTTATGCAAACACTGTATATATTTTTAATTTTAATAAAGCAAGCAAATATTATTATTACTGGCTGTTAAACAGGTACGCAGGTCGTGGACTGCTCGTGATATGTAAAGCCGGGATCACAGATGCAACGATTACGACTCACACAAATTCCATTATTGCATTTTCTGTAAGTTTTAAATGTTTATGAATTTTGGAATACAAAGAAAACTATAGTGAAATACAGTGGTCGCTCGCAACTAAAAAAATCAGGCTCTCAAATGAAAAAATGCATTAATTCACATTAAAATGATGAATCTCATGTTTGGATTGTTTTGGAGTTTTAATTTTTAAGCGACAACTGAATTATAGTACTCATATACTTACTGATAGCAATCGTTTTGACAGACGCCATCCTTGAGCGTGTAGCCCGGACCGCAGTCGCACTCATTGTCGCCCTTGCAAAGGCCACCGATGCCGCAATCGGGTTCACAAATGGGCTGGCATCCATCGTTGGTTAGCTGATAGCCCTTGGCGCAGCTGCATACCTCCGGTTCGGTGCAGTTGTGTCGCGGATTATTGCCGCACCCGCTGCTGCAGATGGGTCGGCAGAAGCGTCGTGTCTCGTCCAGCATATAGCCCGCGTCGCATTGGCAACTGCCGTCAAGATAACAGCGACCATTTTGGCAGCCAATTGGACACGCGAACACACAGTCTCCATTATCGTTTTTCACGAAGCCCTCGTAACAGTCGCACTCGCCAGGACGACGGCAACCACCATTCTGACAGCCACAAATGGGCCGGCAGACGGTGACGCCCATCAGCCGGGTGGGCATATAACCGGTGCAGCAGACCTCAATGGAGGACAACTTGTTGGCCATGTCCGTCTGTATGAGATTCGCAAGCGGATACTTGGACACCGACTCTGCTCTAGTGATTAGAGACTAACATGAATCAGTTGGCAATGAAATTGTGAAATTTGAGTTTCTTCAGTAACTTACGGCACCCAAATGCGACACTTGTGCAGTGCCCGGCTGGACACACTCTCGTGAATACGCAGCATATATTCACGCCTCCGTGGCTGCTGGACTGCAGTCCCGTTCACATAGACTGCAGTCCCGTCCACATAGAAGTTTATGTCACCAGGACGCTGATAAAGCGGGTGGGGAGTCTGATATCTGTTCACATTCGAGGTGAATCGTCTGTTATTATATTGCATAGGCGCATCGAATTCCGATCCCTGATTGCGAGGCTCATTCGCTCCAATCCTGGCGAAGCACAGCAGCAAGATTAGTTTCTGGCCTTGAGTAAGTAGGCGCATTTTAATGTTTGAAAATTATGTTGTTTTCCGTTGCTTGCTAGCCAATTGCTAAATTCCTACTAAATTCTCAAGTTTTGCTGGCGCTCCACTGCCCCAATATTTGCTGACGCTTATCGCTTATCAGTTGTTTGTTGCTTTTCACACTGGAGCATTTCGGGTATCTTCCGAATACAATTTTAAAAAAGGCTAAAAAAGTTTGCATGACAAGCAATTTAAAGTGCCTCTTGGGATACTATTGCAATTTCCCAATGCTAAAAAGAATATACATATGATAAAGAAATTGGCATTAAAATAAAATAAATAATAATAATAATTAAGTTTAATTTGAGAATTGGAAATTAATAAGTCTTAAATATTTTATAATTACGTTTTCAGCAATACATTTATTTCAGTTTCTTCGAAGGCAATCATTTTATAAGTTTTCGATTTATAATAATTAAGTTGTTAGTTTTCACACAATTAATATTTTCAAATTTTGTTGTACATCGCAATCAATAAATTATTGCTGCTTCGCAATAGCTAGCTATGTATGTATATATAATTTAATATTATTTTCTAAACCTCTCATCTCTCTTGATCTCTCTTTTTGCTGCTGTCTTGTTGCTTTTAGACCGTTCAAGTACTCTTAATTTCAGTGGTCCTCAGTCTCTCGCTAATAATTAAAAGCCCCTTTCGCTTATCGCTGCTTGCCTCGCAGCTGCGATTAAGCGCTGACCCGTTTCTCTAACTACGCCCGCTGCTGGCACACAGTAAACAACAGCGACTTGAGCGGGCCGCAGTGCAATCAGAGAAGCGCTCAACTAAAAAATATTAGAGCCAGGAAACGAGAGAGGAGCCATCAATAATCCATGTCCGCAGTGCTGCGATCGGTGGCTCTGCAGGCCAGTCTTCTGCTCATCTATTTTTGCGTGATGCACGCCCTGGATCTGCAACTATACGAACAGCAACTGAAGCAGCAGCTACTCGATGAGCAGCAGCGCCTGCATCAGAAGGAACTGCTGCTGCAGCAACAACGGGAGCAGCAGATCCAGCAGAGACGCTATTCCTCAACTACATCCACACGCAAGCCGTACATAATTCCACAAGGATTATCGCTGCCGCAACGAGGCGTGTATCCGGATAAATGCTATCGGGAAGTGCCGTAAGTAAAACTAGGAAATTATAAAGTTATTATTTTATTAATTGAAGCTGTACAGAAAAACTGATTTAAATAAAAAGAAGCTACTCCAGCGAAGGACACACAAATATCATAATTGATATGCACAGACAAAGAATTAAATTCTCTTTATAATAGTTATAGCAAGGAAGTAAAAGTACTTAGAATATTAACAAGGCTTATAAATAACATTTTCCTCCATAATATTTATGAACGGTTTCTGGATTAGCTTAACTTGAATTCTTATGTTTATCAATTCTCTCCACTTACCAAATAGTGCTTTGTATATGTAACACTAATACAATATTTCTATTGCCAGTGCTGTATTCTTTCAGTATGACAAAGAAGTTAAGATTGTGGGCAACAGCAGCACAAACCCGCACTTTAATGTCATCGAGGTGTGCTGCAAGGGCTGGCGACGCTACGAGTACGACTGGAGCAGGTGTGTGCCGGATTGTGGTGAGCGGTGCCAGGAGAATGGCTTCTGTCTGCCGGGTGGACGCTGCCAATGCTTCGACGACTTCGTGCTCAACTATCGGAACAACTGTGTGCCCACCTGCCCGCTGGGGTGCCCACACGGCCAGTGCTATTTGAATGGCACCTGCAGGTGCGAGAAGGGCTTCGAGTTGGATGGATCGCAACGCTTCTGCCAGCCGCAGTGCAATGCCACCTGTGGTCACAACGAGATCTGCCTCGAGCCGGGTAAGTGCGTCTGCGCCGAGGGCTATGCCCGTGGTCTGCGCGAATCGAATGCCCTCGGCTGCCAGCCCATGTGCATTCCGGACTGTGGCTATGGTCACTGTGTGGCCCCCAATCAGTGCGAATGCTTTCCCGGCTTTAAAAAACGCATGAATGGCAGCTCTTGCGAAGGCAATTGCTACATGTAAGTATCAATGAGAGTATTTTGTTATGAGTATATTATACAAGTTTTCTTGATATTGGTTAGGTAAAGCTAAACGAGTTCTTCGAAAAGTTTTTAAGGAAGAATCGAAGGGAATTCAAATTGTGTTGGATCTCATCTTATATACATATATTTGTAAATACATTATCTTTCATTTTTAAAATTCTTTCACTTCAAAATACCTTTTTTTAGAAAGTCACCATAAAAAAAATGATTTAAAATATAAGTATTTTATTAAAAATGCAAGTCTCACATGATAATTCTCAATACCTAACTTTTAACCCAAATTTTAGTACAAATTTAGACATTATTCTCAATATCACAATTCTATGTCTTCTTCCTCCAAATAGGCGCTGTGAGAATGGCTTTTGTGCAAATCAAACCACCTGCGTGTGCCAGAATGGTTACCGATACGATATCAACACCACCAGCTGCCTGCCCGATTGTGGCGATGACTGCCTTAATGGGGTGTGCATCTCACCAGGGAATTGCCGGTGCTTCAATGGGTATGCGAGAAATCGAGAGCGCTGCGACGCTGTCTGCGATCGTGGCTGTGGCTTCTATGGCCGTTGCATTGCGCCAAATATTTGTGGCTGTGCGATGGTGCAGGGTCCGGTGGAGAGCTACCAGAGATGCGAAAATGGCTACTGCAATTCGGAGGGTCGTTGTCGCTGCTTAGTGGGTACGACGCGATTCATCGATAAGTGCATGTCGCCGGATACGGTGACTACCTACGCCTCCATGAATCCATTGCGAGTGAATGCCTCACTAATGCACGAGTTCGATTTGCTACTGGGCAGGCACTTTATACTGGGTTCCGCCGGCATGATCGAATCGAACAGATGGTTGGTGTGAGCTGGTGATAACAGATTGAACAAAAATACACTTATACATGCTTCACAGAAAGAAAAGAAAAGATACATTTAAATACTATTTACAATTTCGATGTCAAGCACAATGCAATTGTTGTCTTGAAATTAAGATCCGTTGCGCCGCCGTTGCTTATCACTAAGCTAGTGGCGTGGCTGCAAGGGGGTTGTTTGACTTCTTTGTATATATGTGTGTACATATTATATTCCTCCTTTTAATAAGATGCCACTGCCGATTATGCAAATATATTAATCTATTTATGGTTTCACAAAGCTCAGTTCGTTTCCTTCTATAAAAGCAGTGCTCATAACGAGAGCAGCTCAGTTGCTCGCCTACATTTGAGCACATTAAGCAAACATTGCGATAATTCTATTCTTAAATTCAGAGAGCGAGACGAATTATGCTGTCGCACAGCAAAATATTTGGATTGCTGATCGGCTGCTTAACATTGCATCTGCTACCCACGCATACATCTGGACAATTCTGGAAGGTCGATCGGAGCGACTATCAAATTTGGAGAAGTGAGTTGCTGATGAATCGTAACTCGGGCATTTGCTATAAAACCCAATTGTAAATACAGTCAACTGATCTGAGTATTAAGTCGTCAGCAAAACGTCTAAATATCATATGTTTGCAGAGTTTCTACTTTGGATCCGCAGCTGAGTGAACGTCAGATCTCCTACTGCTGTGATGGCTACGTGAATCGTGGCAGTTCCAAAATTCTCAAATGTGAGCCCATTTGCGAGGAGGATTGCACTAATGGTGTTTGCCTCTCGCCTGGCTACTGTGAATGTGGCCCTGGATATTATAAAGAACAGGCACATTGCAAGTTGGCAAGATGAGGTCGACAAGTCTGTGGAAATCAAAATTCTTGATTTCTATCATGTTAGCTTTTATTAAAAAACATTGGTCTTCATTTCCCAAAACATACATTTTTAGTTTAAAAGTAAATTAATCTGTATGAGCTTTATTCTAAATATTAAATAATATATTGTTATATTATTAAATGTTATGGTTTAAATTAATATACTCGAGGATGAGACTTAAAATGTCTTTGAGTTCCATTTATTTGTTGTGCTGTTTTTACACGAGGAAGCGCATCAAGTGGTTGGGCTCAACTGCTCAGTGATCACAGACTGAATAACAGAATATTTTTCTACTTGATTGCATCACTCAATCATTTCTCGGAACTGCTCAGAAATCATATTTAAGCTAGGTAATTCATTAGCAAGCAAGATAAAGCTCAACCTGATTGGCCTACAACAATGAAAACAATTAAAACAACAACAAGTTTCGGATGGGAGAGTAACCTTCGGTATTATTGATAGGCACAGTCCGAGGTTCTGATTAGAAGTAATCGGCTCGACGGGGGCTAGAGGTTGGAGGCTGGCAGCTAAATTCGCGACTCGCGATTGAATTTTGAATGTGCTAAGCGGTTAGTTAAAGTGCAGCAACTGTGAAGTGCGGACGTGAGCATTTTTTGAATTGCAAAACATTGAAATTATTTGTTAGCACTCCCAACCAAGTGACGTCAGAAATCATGAGCTCATCGTGGCAGCTGCTTAAGCTGACAACGCTGCTGCTCGCACTCTGCGGCACTGGCGAGGCACAGTACAAGACGGCGGGCATCAAGACTCGCCAGCCAATACCGGCTTCGGGCAATCTGCTGCTGTCTAGCAATGGCACCAGCGAGTTCAACCAGACCCAATTTAATTCCCAGACCCAATATAGCAATTATGGCAGCTATTCCAACTTTGTGCCTGCCGAGACTTATCAGGGCGGTGAAGCATACTCGGGCCACTATGTCCAGTCGATGAACCAAGCGACTCGTGCTCCACAGATTCTGGATGAGACGGCCCTGTTTATCAACAAGACCAGATCGGCTATGGCCAGTGGCATATGCTACAAGGAAGTACCGTAAGTATAAAAGGGGGAATGCAGTGAAGTATTTAAATGTTAGAGCCCATTTTATAAGCTGAACTAATTATTATCGCGCAGTTTTCAGTATTTGAAAATAGGCCAGCTAAACATTGAACTGATGACCTCGACATCCTCGACTTGCTTGATAATGAAATACGTCTTGCAGTAGAATATATATACAACTCGAACTTATGTATTCAGTGCATATATATATATTAATGTGATATTCCAAAACAATTCTGATTAGAGCTTGTTGAATAACAAAATAAATGGTTTGCGCATGGTAATACCATATATACATCATATAGAGCGTGGTATCAGGCACAGTTGACTTCTCAAACAATCAAAACAAATTCGTGAATTAAAAGTAATGTAAGGCTTAGCAGAAATATTTATATATATTTTTAGCTAGAGCAAACTTTGATGAATAAATAATAAATACATATTGCCTGTTAAATATTTATCTTTTGCAGGAAATATCCCATTTCTTTCTGATTGAAAAATAATTTAATGGGTATTTGAATGATATTATTTTAATATTTCATATGAGAAGGAGCCATGAAAAACAATTGAAGACATTTTTTAATCGAAATTCCTATTTGAAATTATTTTAATGTTTTATTTAAATTTATCGTAAAATAAGTAAGTAATATTCTGAATCAGTGAAAGTTGACTTTAACATATTCTGTCCGTTTCTTTACAGTACCGCCTCATTGTTGCACGGCTCGCGGGAGAACGCTGTTGGCAATGGCACCTCGCCGGATTTAAGCCAGATTCAGGTGTGCTGCGAAGGCTACGAACGTAATCCGCATATTTATCGCCGCTGCGAGCCGATCTGTAAGGATGACTGTCCTAATGGCATTTGCACGGCGCCCAACACCTGCGTCTGCATGCCAAAGCATGTGAGGACTGACGAGGGCAAGTGCATCTCCACCTGCCCCCTGGGCTGTGGCAATGGTGTCTGCGACGATCAAAACGAATGTCGTTGCCGTGAAGGATACAGCCTAGATCCCGTTAGCCGTAAATACTGCCAGCCGCAGTGCAATCCGGGCTGTGCCAACGGACGCTGTGTGGCGCCCAACAAATGCGACTGCCTACTGGGCTATCGCCGTGCTGGCGATGGCAGCTGTGCTCCCGTCTGTGACCAATGCGAGAATGGAAAATGTGTTGCGCCAGGCCAATGCGACTGCCGCACCGGCTACGCAAAGGTCGTCGGACGTTGCGAACCCGTTTGCGAACAGTGAGTTGACAAACAAAAGTTGAAAATACTGGCTCAAAGTTGACTCAGCCATGCTGAAATTGTTATGCAATTATTGCTGTACCTTCAAAATAATTTAAAATCAGTTTTATTAACTAATAATTAACCTCTTCCCCACACAGACCCTGCAGGAATGGCGGCCGTTGTGTGGCGCCAAATACATGCGAATGTGCGCCCGGCTACGATTGGGACCAGAAGAGCGGACAATGTGTGCCGCACTGTGATATGCCCTGCTTGAACGGGGTCTGCATCGGCCAGAACCAGTGCGAGTGCAAGCCGGGCTATATACTGGACGAGCATCAGCGTAATATTTGTCAGGCCCACTGCCCGCAGGGCTGCCCCAATGGCTATTGTAGTGCGCCAAACTTTTGCATCTGCAGGCCGGGCTTTATCAAGAGCGGCATCAAGGGACGTCAGAGCTGTCAGCCTGTTTAATCAATTGCTCCTTTATTTCTTATATATCTTAACGTTACTCCCAAATAAATATACGCCCAATCAGTGTATTGAACTCGTATTTGAAGTCTTCATTATGTTTCCTGCGCTGCCTCTCGTTGCTCACCAACTGCATTATGTTTTGCGGCTCTACGCACTGGCCGACGTAGTGCGTCCATCCAGTGGCACACTGACAATGTCCTGTGGCATCGCAGCTGCCTTGTACACATAGCTGCCCATCCGGACCACAGCCGCACACGTTCGGCGCCAGGCATTTGCCATAATAACCGCAGTTGCTGCAAATATAAATGGAATGACAGTTAACAGACATCAATTCGATATTTGCTGTAGGTCATTGTTTGGAATTCGTCTGTTTTAAGCTCTCTAAATATATTATTTTTCACAATAAGCTCTATGCCAAATGGCTTTCAAAATTATTTATGCTGTCCATTTTGTTTCTATGAAATAATTGCCAATGCAATTTAAGCACTTTTAACACTGAATTCAATTAAAAGTGCTTATGATGACACCTGATATAAGATACAAATTTCTTAGTTTTATTATACATTATTTATTATTCTTAACATAATTATATTTTTATTATTTGGATTCCTGGAGTCAGGCTAAAAACAGTTAGATTTCCAGATTTTATTGTCTGATTGAAGCCTAGGCAACACCAAAAATCTTTTGTAAGTTATTTATGGAATTATGACGTGTTGACTTATTTGTGTTTAAGGTACACATCTGTAAGTATTAGATAGAATAATTTGATGTTAGCCGTAAGCGAATTTTGAATGAATTTTAAATACTACGTTTTTATTGATAATTTTCCATAACTAGAACATGCGTATTTCCGAGAGCATTATTATCTATGATAACTGTTACACACGATATCTAACTTTTGATTAAATTTGTTCTTTAATGTTTATTTTATTGAATAATAGAACGGATATTTAAACATAACCAGCTTAAAATATATTAACAGACTTGTAATATTTGGTAAATTTGTACTATGAATATAATGTAATATCAACTCATAACTGTCTTTAGACTCACCCTACGCACTTGGGCTCACAGCTGCTGCCCCGAAGCTCGTAGCCCTGAAAGCAGCGACAAATGCCGGGTGCAATACAGACGCCATTGCCGTGGCCACAGTTATCCGGGCAGACGGGCAGGCAGCTGGTGGTGTTGCCATCGAATCGATAACCCGCACGACAATGGCACGTCAAGCGCGACTCACAGAACCCGTTTTCACAGTTGCTGTGGTGGGAGAGGAAGAAATAAAATAAGCTTCAGCTTGTTCAAGTAATTAGCTATTAATTACCTACATGTAGCACTTGGCCTCGCAAACATTGCGCTGCGGTCGTTTCATAAAGCCCGGGAAGCACTCGCACTGATTGGGTGCCACACACTTGCCGTGGCCGCAGTCTGGCGCACAAATGGGCTGGCAGCCCAGCTCCGCGGTGCGTCGATAGCCGGCGGAACAGTCGCATTTGCCAGGAGCAATGCATTCTTCGTGCGTACCACAACCCTTCGGGCAGTGGGCGCGACAGAAGAGGTGCGTCTCCTCGTCCAGCGTGTAGCCGGTGTGGCAGGCACAGGTGCCATTCAGATAGCACCTACCGTGTTGGCAGGCAATAGGGCAGGTGTGAATACAGGCGCCCTGCTCATTGCGCACAAACTCCGCAAAGCACTCGCAGCGCTGTGGTCCACGACAGAAGCCATTGCGACAGCCGTACGGCGAGGTCTGCTCACAGTCCGGCACACAGTGGCCGCTGTACGGGTCCGGGCGATAACCCTCGCAGCACTGCTCAATCCGATGATAATAAATTGTAGAGCCATTTCCACGCACCGGCAATTCCTTGTGTGTCTGAAAGAATATAGCACTGAGACAAATATATTTTAATCTATGCTTCTTCTTCTATATTATCTATTCATATTCACTGTCTGGTTTATATATCTCCTATTTTAGATGTGACAGCCATGACTATTCCAGCTACTTACGGCAATTCGCGCTGGCAAAGATGCTGCTGACGCTCTCGTGTCTGACTGAGTAATTCGAATTCGCCCGAAACGTGTATATCGCCAAAGAGCTCTTTTCCCGCTGCTGGTTCTGCTGCCAGCATTGGCGTCGCTGCCAGCAAGAGCAGCATCCGCAGCAGCAGCGCCTCAGCGCAGTTCCCATTCCCGGGCATGTCGCGTTGTTTGTCGCCACAGTTCCATCCAGCGAATGAGTAAACGAATGTTACGGCTCTTGCCAACGGGGCCTTATCAGTAACATCTTTCGCCCCCAGGTTGGGGAGAGGCGATGCTCTCATATTTCTTTAGCAGTGTTTTTCCAGTGAGAATGGTAACACTCTCCTTCATCGCAATTATAATTAATAATAATATTACTATAAATGTTATTATTACTGTCATCATTGTGCTAATCATTATTATTATTATTATTATTATATTAGTATTATTGAGGTTAATATGACTTTTGATTATGAGCGTCTTATGACTTGTTTGATAAACTATTTGAATATATTTAATAGCAGAAGAAAGTCAAATTTTGAATATGAACAATCGACTTAATTAACATAATCTAAATAGACTCAGACATTACTCATACGTATACGTACACATCGTATCAGCATTAAGCAACTCAGAATTTGTTTAAATATGTGTATTTATTAAAAATCTGAATCAGGCCAACTTACGAGAAGACCACCGAGACGAGCTCGCCGCACCAACTTATCTGATGCAACAACTCAAGAGTCTACAAAACCTGAACCAATACCACTAGAACCTACAGCAAAAACAAACCTGTCAACAACAACTAGTTCATCAACTTCATCTGCAATTACAGTCAAATTCAGCAAACAACCAACTAGCACAAAAACCAGCTTACAACAATAATATATATAAAATATCCCCTACCAGGCCGCCTATGACAACAACAAACCCAAAGCGATTTCAGCTACAAATGATAAAATTAAAACAACAATTCGAGTATTGGTAAAAATTTTAATGTATAATTCATAGAGTGTTATGCAAAGATACAGATTATATGGCAATCATATTTTTGGTGCTCAATATTTTGATGAGTTTTTAAAATTCGAAGATTTTCGGATAAGATCTGAAATGATTTGAATTTTGATATAATTCATTTTTGAGGAAGATTTGTCGTTGTGAAATTCACAAATGAGCTATCCTGCGCGTTGTAATCTGATTGGGCACCTGCAAGAAGTTTGAGTTCTGCGGCGGTATAATCAAGTGCGAAATATGTGAGCCACCAGAAGTGTGGTGGTGTTGCTGATGGTGATGGTGGGTTGAATGACTATTATTCTGTTGCGGCTGGATGGTTGGCGGTGCCGGAAGAAAAGCAGTTGCTGTGGTTGAATGCGGATATCGGAGCTGCGAGGTTTGCGGTTGCTGTGGTTGACGGTCCTGTTGCTGCTGCTGCTGCTGATGATGATGATGGTGGTGGTGGTGTTGAGGGTGGTTGTGCTGCAGCTGTTGTTGCTGATGATAGCGTATCTCGTCATACAGATGCGAATCAAGGCTGCCCTTGCGTGATTTGGGCGTAATGACAGAATACAGTGATTCCTTTCTGGCATAGGCGTAGGGCGGCGTTGTAATCGAAGAGTTGTTACTTGGCGTATCATACAGTTCCGGCAAAGACCCTGCAAGGAGTTCAAGGATTAGCTTAATTTCAATTTATATTTAGTTAACACGATAAATAACTTGATTTTAAAATTTGAAATAGGTGAGGACCCTCTATTTCTTATTAATTATTAATTAATCAAATTGTTATGAACATCAGTTTAGTTTCATATTTAATCTGTCTCGTTAAAGATATTTTACGATTTCTGACCTCAAATAGGAGTAGGTCCTTAAATTCCACATTCTGAATTTCAACTATTGATAAAGATAAATCAGTGAAGTCATAATGTCTATAACTTCTATAACAGTTCAAAATAAACAGTTGTTTTAATTTTTTTTAATAGGAAAACTTTAATTCTGGTTAAGTATATATATTTTTATACTGTCCCGGAAGTATTCTATGTGAGAGTGGAAACTAATTTAATTTTCCTAATGTCAAGTTATTCATCGATCCGTCCTCTTAGTAGGAGGGGCGACACTTACATACCCTCGTTCGTTTGGGACTGATTTGACGGCAATATAGTTGGTGGCTTTGGCAGCGGACTGTGGAAGATTTTACCCATCACACCAGACTCACTGATCACAACTTCAGGATTGGAATGTCCGTGAGTGCCGATCGTGCCATTGGCGTTAAAGATTACGGCCTCCTTGTGGACATGAAAGCGCCTATAGACATAGAGGAAGCCCAGCGTTATGGCAATCATGAGTATTAGCAGCATAATGATCAGTGTGCTCAGCAAGCTGGTATCGTGTTCGTGGGAGCTGTGACTGGGATTGCTCTCGCCAGCAGCGAATCCCGCCAGATTTAGCTGTGGTGAATGCTCCTGCTGCACACTGCCACCGGCATTCGTGATGACGTGGATAACCTCTGGAGCTGGCACGCCTGCAACTGCGGCCGATTGTAGATTCTCCAACAAGGCATTGCTTGACTCGTGCAAAATGATCTTCGGCGTATGCGAGGACTCCTTAATCAGTATGACCTCGGGCAGTGGACTGGGCGTCACCTGCACATGACTTTCCTCGGACATGCTGCCAATGCGCTTGGCAATATTATTGATATTGTGCGTTAGATTTGCCATTGTCGAATTGATGGTCTCCAGCACGACATGGCTGACATTAACGGCGCCAGTCTGATCCGGACCAACACACTCACCCGACTGCGGATGACAGCGTTTCTCAGGACATTCGCAGGCCTTGCGACACATAACGCCATGTGTGCCCCTCGGACAGGGCTGCTCGCAGCTGCAATTGAATGCAAATTTGATTAAATACAATTTATTAAGTTTTTATACTGATTATGCAACTTACAATTGACCCGACCATCCAGCGATGCAGTGACAGACACCCGTCTTATTGTCGCAAACGGCATCATTGCGACACTTGCACGGATTTTTGCAGTCCAATCCCCAGCGATCATGATCACAGCCTGCAGTGAATTGAAAACCCATTAAGTGCTGCATAATATTTGATCGTGATTTGTGTACTCACGCTGTGTGCAGTGTTTGCCAGTGTAACCCTCCTCGCAGCCGCATATATCTGGCATTAGACAGTTGCCACGCCCACAGCCGCCGCGGCAAATGGGCTTGCAGCTGGCATGGCTGTCGGAGAGATTGCCCTCATAGCCTTGACAGCAAAAGCGAACTGTGCGCGTTTTATTCAGTCGCTAAAACAGAAATCAGAGGATCGATGATATGAGTCAGAAGCATTAGTAAATGAAGAGAAGCTAAGAATTACAGAAGAATATAAAATGCGTCATGAAGTGGAAGATTTATTGCTATATAACAATTATATTGTACACATTTTTCTTTTAAATTTTTAACCACAATTGACTAATGTTATGTTATGCGCTTATCATTTCTTTAGCTTTATCAAATATCGCTTCCTGTTGCGGCGTAATAATATTTTCAGAAACTTAGTCAAAATTCGTTCAGTTCTTATTTCGAGTGCAGCTTGTAAGCGAGCACGTCTTAAAGTTTAATAAAAGCCTCATTTGGGTAAAGCAAATTAAACATGCAGGGTTTTCGGTTTTGGAGTTTAATCTGCGGCTCTTGGCTGTTGCTCCTAGCATCAAGTGCCAACGTTGAAATCGAGACTATGCAACGCGATATTCAACTTAATGCACCATTGTCTGAGTTGAATTTACCAGAGTCTTCTAAATCAGAGGAACCATTACGAAAGTCTTCTACATCAGAGGAACCATTAGCAGAGTTTTTTACATCAGAGGAACCATTTGCAGAGTTTTCTACATCAGAGGAACCATTTCCGGACATATTTTCTACCGAACCTACAACAACAGAACCGAGCACCGCACTAAGAAGCCATCCTTCGAATCCTATGAGAGCAAAAAATAACTGGGTTATGGTTATCGTAGTTCTGACTACAGTTCTCGTCGGGAGTGCCGCTACTTATATCATTTATAAGATACGGAATCAGAGATCCTATGATATCTAAGGACCTGAAACTGTTATATTCGAGACTATCAACTGTTTCACAAGTGGAGTCGATGTGGATCAAGCTGTAAATTAAATTGAGAAGTAAAGTTAATGTTACTAGGGCTGGTTACATTAACTTATATATGTAATAGGTAAAATTGTTACAATAATTAAATAATTTTGACTTGAACTTGAACACAAATCACAGTAACGAATTTTAAGTGAGTGAATAACATTTTACGTGAAAAATTATAAAATCTATAATTATATAAAGATCTAATAATTAAATGTAATAATAATAATAAAGAAAATTCAATTAAGTTTATTGGATTCTTTTGTAATTCATTGTTGCGTCATAAAAATGCTTTTGCTTACATTTTATTCTCCATATTTTGGTGTTATTGTTTATAAGTTTTTTTCACTGTTAGATTTGATAACTTATGTGTGCATTAGTTTACTGAAATTGCTTGAAATTTTATGTATGGGAGAATCTACATAAACATGTATGTGTAAATGTGCTTTTGTACTTTTTTCATATTGTGAAAAATTCAACCAGTTAATAAGCTAAGAACTTAATTAGTTTTAAACTTTTTTTTATTGTTATTCAAGTCCTAAAAGTGAGCAACACTAATTAGCTTAATCAAAAATTGAGCCCAATAGTATGCAACAGAGCGCCTTGCTTGAAGTAAACATCAAATCAAAATTATTCGCAAGAGATACAAGTAAGAACGCTACAGTCGAGAGAGCTCGACTACGGTATAGCTGTTCAATATATATTATAAGATTTGCGTGTTTTTATAGTGGACATGTCTAAATGGACTCGGCTATTGACCCTGATCAAGAATATAAATACTTTATGGGTTTGGAGATGCTTCCTTCTGTGTTTTGGACAAAACCATTATACCACTATTAACCCATTCAATGGCTCAGGGTATACAAAATTTAAATATAAATAGCCGCAGTTGAATTGAAAAGAACTTAATAAAATGCACATATTTTGATTTACTAAAATATATGACATACATTTTCTCATATAGATTATCATCCATTCGCTTCCGCATGAATTTCATATCGGTTAATGAATATTTAGTGAAGAACATATTGAGGCAGTGTTGCTTTTACTCAATTCAATGTCAACTCAACTTGAACTTTGTAACACTGCTCCGTTCTGGATAGTTACAAGAGCTTTAGAACTGATTATGATAAATCTGAGACATATATATTCACCCCACCCACACACACACACACACTCACACACACACACACACACACCCCTTGAGTTGCCAATTTAAGTGAATGAACTGAACTGAATGCCAAGCGTTTCTCACAATCATCTGTGCCCAGTAACCGGTGCCCAGTGCCCTGAAGCGTTTATACTTTTCATTCAGTAAAATCTCCGCCCAACTTACGCATTGTTCTGTGTCTCTTGTTGTTGATGAATTTGTAGCTGTTTACTGTGTATCTGCATTTGTGTACCACTGTGTGTATGTGTGTGCATAAATTAATAAGGCGGAAATTTTAATATAAACACTGATATTCGATTCGAGTTGTGTGCTGTGCTGTTCCATTGTAAACATAATTAAGCGCAACTTTAAGCACAGCCTTTTGTCAAATGGTCACCATCAGCGAACGGACTGTTTTTGGAGTAACACTCATGCGTTGTACTTGCTTAGTAATTGAATACACATTGAGCAATGTTACATATGCGACATATCGCATTACGAACACAAATCGTAGAGCTTCCAGCTCAGCTCTCTACAACTTTTCATCCATCACACTGGCAGTCAGGCACATCAATCATCGTGGGGTACGGTTTTATATAATATACTTGGATTGTGTATATATCTTTTGGCACTTTACCTCCGTTACTAATGCTAAGACCGAAACTAGTTTGAAGCAACTGTTTAATTTCTTATAAATGAGTTTACGCATTGCTCATGCGATTTAATTTCATGTTAATTAATTACTCGCGATTGACAATTAGCGACGGTATTTTATGTGGACAAGCATTTGTTTTTTGTCTCTGCGAAATCACACATTTTAGCATTTTCCTAACAATGCCGCAATGTTTGTGTACTTAACAAGCTGGGCTCAATTTCAGTGGGATCTGGCATCAATATTATTTTTCAAATCAGAGATCCGAAACCAAGTGTCCATCTAAAGTCATTGAATTGATCATGCATTTACAAAATTACTCGATTTTTTTTAGTTTTAGTTGTTTTCCCCAATTTAGCAAACATCCATGTTGAAATCCAAAATAGTTAAATTATGAAACTAATTTGCAACCAGCTTAGCAGCAGCAGCAAGCAGCATTTACGCTTGTGTGCACATAATTAGACTCGAAACTCTAAACTAAAACTAAACCAAAACTGGCTGCATCTTATGGCCAGTTTGATCGTATGTTGACGTGATGCAATCGAAAGTGTGTCAACAGCTTCGGCGTCAACTGCAGCAGTTCGCATGCACATATGAACTAAGGTAATGGAGCACTTAATAATCGTTGCTCTAACTGCGAATATTTACTAGATTTTCCACTTTTGCTTGCACTTTCCATCACTGACACCATGACATAATTATTATTTTTTATACAAAAAAAAAAAAATTCAAAAGATGGAAAAAACGACAAAAACCAGCCAAGCCTGATTAGGAACCCGAACAAGCAGCCGGATTCTGACCATATTTGATACCCATTTGTTTTGCTCGATTTATATTGGTTGGTTTTTTTTTTATTTTATCACCATTAACTATTTAAGATAAAATGCTACTCCCTTAAATAGTAAACTAACTCAGCTGTTTAGAAGTAGTTGGAAATAAATATAATTTTAATCGATTCTGTCTATTTTTAATCAATTCTAAAGTATCTAAAAGTAGTTCAAAGCTTTTTACACTAGTTCATCTTTACTCAGTCATAAAAAATTACTAATAATAATACTAGGATACTAAAAATTAGACAATTTATTAGGGTATTCACAGATTGATTTTATTTAAATTCAAATATCATGTTTGCGAAACGGGTGCCCAACAGTTCCGAGAAACTCTGACAGCCAAGGACATTTTCTGTGCTTGGAACATGGGTCAAAACCGGTCGCAATCCACAAAGTTTCAGAAATGTTTGTACGTACACAGCTGCAACTTCCGTACAGTGCAACAGAGTTTCCATTTGACGCTTGCGCAACTCTTTAAGACATATATAAATCGCAAGATATATATATATATATTTTAAAACAGAACCCATTTACCGTGGCAAAATAACCAAAGCCGTACAATTTGTGGGATTTCGCAGCGAATCGTTTCCCGGTTGGTGGTTTGGCGACTGTGGCAAATGAAATCAGGTTTGTGGGGCAAGTGGCTAAAATTTAGCAAGACTGGAGGTGTTGCCACCGATCGTGATGACGCAACAGCCGCCCGCTATGGCAGAGCTAATCACCTGCACAGCTGCACCCAATCTACACCACATACAGCACTCACCTGCACCCGCATCACCTCGCGCATTTCCGTCTGGAATGAGGAGCAGCGCGGTGGTATCTCCAGGCACCAGCTGGACGTGCGCACTCGGACCGGCTGCACCTCGGGCACCTGCACCACCTCCACATAGGGCTCCTCGCGTGTACAGATATTGCCAAAGCCCTGTGTCGAGGGCAGAGCCATTGCTGTTGCATTCACGTCCTTGAGGTATGTATTCACACGCAGGCTACTGTTCTGGCTGCATATGCAGCTCAGTTGTAGCAACATTAGCAACAGTTGCCGCTGCAACACACACTTAATTGCCAGTTTCATTTTTAGATTTATTCAATAACTTAAGCTTTGACTTAAATGTTATAGAAATTTATTTTTAATTATTTATTCAGACGAATAAGCATTTCATTATTGTATATTTATTTATAAAATCGATGATTGTTGTATAAAATCATGATTTTTTTTAAATAAATTTCATTTTTTTGTCTTAATAAAAACCTTTTGAATTATAGTTATTTTTTAAATATTTTTTAAAATTATTATTTTAAGTATTGTGAATTGAAAGTTTTAATAGGTGTATTTTTTAAACTTTTTATAATATATATTTTTATATTATTTGCGTTTTATATTTTTTGAAAAACTTTCCGCACAGAACACAGTGAGACTTTATATTATTATTGTAGTGATCAAGTTCCATCACTTTCGCTCAACTTTCGTTTGATTTGTTGACTAAGACTCTGATTCTATCCGCTCCAATTGTGATGCGTGTGCACTTGGAACGCGACTCTGGTAATGACTGTTCTTCCCGTTGGCTCTGATTCAACAGCTCGTCTGGTCGCGTGTTCCTTCTCCAAAAACAGTGAACAGTGAACAGTGAACAGTAAACAAATGTAGAAAAATGTATACATACATAAAATACACGCATGTGTATATCAAAATTGTTGTCATTGCAAATTGGCGACGTCGCCGACACTTTTGTCGAGTTAATGAAGGCCGCAGTGCAGCGGCAGCGACAGCGTCAGGGGCTGAGGCTGCTGCTCGGCGACAGGGCGGAAGTACGCACTGCACAGTTAAATTCTACAATGAAAGTGAAATGCGACACAAACGCACACACACAAAAGTCTCCACTGCAGCTGCACTCGCAACTCGCCATCCGATCGAATCTCGTTCAGGCCAACCGATTGCAATGCCCTCCCCACACCTTGCCAGTCTGGGGCGATGACGATGATTGCTTCTAATTGAAATGTTGATAATGTCCTTAACATGCTGTCGCTTATTGTTGTCGTTGTTGTTGCAGCAACAGCAAGGCAAACGCGCTTTTGTTGTTGCATTTGCGCTTTTCTGTTCACTCGGGTGACGAAACGTGGGAGAATGCATAAATTACCGCAATTCGAATTTTAAATGAAGACCGATTTTTTTCTCTGATTGACAATTAACATTTAGAAGTTTAACGCGATCATTAAAATAATTGCAGTTAAACATTTGATATAAGCTTATCCATATGCACCTAAGGAATTTCATTTTTAATTGCTTTGTATATTTTTTTGATTACCAGCGGTTATGAAATTAAATATTTGAAAATACATAAGTTGCAAATATCAATGTCATATCGTATTAATATTCGTATCATAAGAAGAAAAATGATTAGTCATTGCGAATTTCACTCTATTTTTATAATAATTCGCCTAATAATTCTTTGAGTAGCTAAGTAAACAAAATACTTGCCTCCAAGCTTGCACTGTAGTTGACATAAGTTGATGATGATAATGGTATAATATCCTTAACAGCACTTACACAAATCCCACACTGACTCTATTATCTTGTTGATTGCAACGGGCATGTAAACAACGTGACCCCCCAACCAGCCGCAAGCTGTGATTCCCTCCTCACTCCGTCTTCAATTCCATAGCTAGATGGAAAACTTGCTCTACTACTTACTCAAGTAAAGTATCTGACTTCTTAGACAAACTTTAGAGCATTGTCACAGAGCTGACAGACTTTTCAATGTAATTCCACAACGCCACAATGCCTCACCTCCGACCCACTAGCCAGGCCACGCCCCGTTCTGCCCCTCGATGGCGCTGATTATCTTGTTTACACTGAAGTTCCAGTTGCAGTTGCTGTCACTTGCGGATTGCAATTTATTAAATCAAATTTACAAAAACTATTACGAAAAACCAGTTGAGAGCTGCAGCTGAAACACGATAAACAAAAACCGCAATTGCCGTCGAAGCACTGTGTTTATTATTTTTATTACCCGATTAAATTATGAACTAAGAACAACAACCACAACAACAGCAACAACAAAAGCAGCAGTTGAAATGTGCGTGCGACGCTGGCGTTCCAATGACCCGCATCGCTGCTGCTGGTTTCCCCAATACACCCTATAATCCCGAACAAACAGGTTTTCGTTTTGTTTTATTTTAGTGGCTTTTAAGGTGCCGCTCAAATTTTTATTGTGTTTGTTTAAAGTTCTATTTAGAATTGCAGTTGGCATTGAATCAAGTTCAAATTGACTATTAACAACTTGAGTTAGCGGAAATGAAAATATTTGTAACAAATAAAATATAAGTTTGACTCTTAACTCATGCTAGACAAGACAACCAGGTAGCACAGCCAGCTGCTGAGGAAAAGTAGCAGCAGGTTCAGTTCCCGGCAAGCCGCGCCATTGTAGTAGCCGCCAAAGACCTGCAGTCCGGCAGTTTCGATGCTGCGCTTACAGTAATCCCCATCATAGTTCCAGCCCACATACTCATTGGTGCGCAGCGCCTCCAGACGCAGCCACTCCTCCAGTGGAGCAAAGTACTCACGCAGAGCGCTGCCATCCAGGCGGCCCTCGCCCAATGTTTCCTGCAGCACCTCCTGCCACGGCTGGGAGGCACCCTTGGCCATCATATCTCTAAGGAAATCAAAGAGAGTGAAACGAAACATTTTAAATAATGCATATTGCATATTGCAAGCAGAAAACATTTGTAATAAGGTAATACTAATTTTGGTCTGGCTGGGTTTTTCTGAGCTTCCCCAATTCAAGCAATAAATGTTGTTCTATCCTTCAATTCAATTACAATTAATTAATTGCTTAAGAATTTGTGGACTGTTTTTAGTTCACATTAGATAAATAATAAAGAAAATAAAAAATGTAATATTTATAATATAATCAATAATTATTCTATTGGTTCCCAACTTACTTTAAAATATTGCCCGCGGCTGGCTGCCGATAGATGTCGCATTTGTGCAGCGGTTTCCGCGGATCGTTGGGCACATATTGGCCAGCGGCTCGGCACATGCCGCGATATAGCTGAAACTGTAGAACCGTGGAGAAAAAGTATCTGCAAGATACAAGACAAGATATGGTATATGGTTAAAACATGACTTTTAGAATGGCAACAGTCACGCTTATTGACCACATATAAGGTAAAAATAATCAATTGTTCTGCGGTGAGAGTTGTACAAAAAGCTCGATGACTTTTTGTTGTTCTTGCTGCTGCTTGCTGCTGTGGCTCACATTGTGACTCAAGGTCGCACCACAATTACAATTAAACCATAACAAATTACATTCGGTTTTGCATTACGAAATCATGCAAAAATCTGTTTTATGATCCGGCAATTGCAATTTGCTCAATGGTGACCCGATTTTGAAAAACTAATGTTTTTGTTCATGATTCGACCTCTACATTAATTCAATATATCAATTTGGAAACGTGATTGTAGCTCTAAATTCATATTAAAATTGCCCTCAAAAAGTATTCATGAAACGGTTTAAACAATAACTTTGTCAAAGAAGGTAAATCAAAGTAACCAAGAAATCTACTAACATTGGGTAGCTTTAAGGACGGATAGTCTAATCAGATATATCGGGGCATTGACGAGCTCCTAACCTTAAGGGTGTCGGGTTGTATACTGTTATACCTTTGGTATCAGAAAAAAAAAAATTGTAGAAGATACATTTTATTTTCGTTTTTTTTCTAAAGTGTATACAAATTTCGGTTTGCTAGCGGAACTATCATCTGACGCTCTTAATGTCTCACATTCGAATCGAGATTTTAGTGGACCTCGAAGACAATTCAATTAATTTTCACCCATGCTATTTATATTTTTATAATATACAAATCATCAAGCTCAGGGTCATCTTAAGAGCTGATGACTATTGTGGATTCGATTTGAACATAGATATTCATAGTAATATGCCGAGTCATAGGTAAGAAATTTTATATTGCTTATAATTTTTCAATATTTGGCACATCAACGAATATGAATGAGTTAATTTTTGACTGATCCGAGAACAAGTTCAGCTAATGTTGGTTTTCACGCAGAATAAAAGAACTGCTGAAAAAACTAATGAGTTTTTTTTTTCATGTTAATTATGCAAAAGCAAGTTCTCCATTTGCGAAGCCTAAGAATACCTCATAAGTTGGTTGCTAATTTATCAGTTGTTTAAGGGGATTCACACATTTAACCAGTCGCTGTTATTTATATTGAAAAAAATAATATATGATTAATATTTCGCTATCATCTATTAACGTAAATTAACAATAGCCTTCGGCTGTGGTCTTAAATGTTGTATTTATCATTTAAATGTTAATCCAAAAATAAAGAGAAGTACATAGATTTCAATAATTGCATATTTTGGTCTCTGATTAAGCAGGAAGCAGGAAGTTTGGAGCCAAAGTCATTTGATGCGACATCTCGTAGCATGTACGGAATGTGCGGCCACAGAGTTTTGATGTGAGATCTCGAAGTATTTAGCTGTAGCTTCCGTGCCAAAACCGCACTTGTTTTGGCAAGTAAAATGAATCATTTGCCATTTACCAGGTTGCCAACTCTGAATTGAAAGCGAACGCAAATCAACTGCAGAGCAAAGAGTTATGGAACCGTGCATTAGCACTGAGCAGTTTAACGACATTGCTCATACGCCCCGCAGCCCCAAAGCAGCAGCTGAAGCATAATTGGAGCCGTTTCGTGAATGGCTTTAGAGCATTACAGAATTACAGATTTTTCAAATATTTCCCCCCCATTGCTCGATCAATTGCAGTGTTTGGAGCGACGCGAAACACATGTTCCATGTCCAAAACGAAAAAGCTGAAAAGAATTTTCGCAACATTTAATTTTAGCAGCGCAAAAAACAGAAGAAAAATTGGACTAATTGCCGACAATGTTTGGTGCTAGGACTGCCTGTTTGACTGTCTGACTGACTGATTGGACGACTGGACAACTGGACGACTGCTGAGCCCGCAGTCAGTGTTTCTGATTGAATGATTGAGTAGCAGTGGCAACTGTTGAGACACAGACCCAGGCCAGGTAGCCAAGTAACCAAGTAGCAGCACCAACAACAGCTGCCACCTAATCCCTGTTATTGGGTCATGCCTGAGACATAGTCTTGCAGTCTTCGTCTGTTGGTCTCATTGAGCGCGTCTCAGGGAAAATGTCTGGCGACGATGTGGCAACTGCTGCCAAGTGCCAAAAACATAACACACCATATGATGTTGATATTGCAGTTGCTGTTGATACTGATGCACTTAATGGGACTTTGGAACGCTGTTTCTGTAACTTCTGCAGTCGAGTCACGATCGCAAATTGTGAAAAATGTGCATTAAAATATTGTTGCTTTTTATCTTCCTCCTTAAATGTTTTCATTGGTCAATGGGTCATGAAATGTTGAAAACAGCTTTGTGTTGATTGATTGGGTCATAAATACGAATATCTATAAACGTTTGTTGTGCTGTGCTAAAGACAAAGCCGGTTCTTGGAAGTATGGAATATAATATAAATACCAATTAAAATTAAATTAAACAGAATTAAGACATTTAGCCAATTCGTTCGAATGGCTGTAACTTGAGTGAATGATGTCGGAGCTGGGAGTGTTGTACCATTTTGAACTCGTGGAAATTAATAGAATATAATGAATTGACCTATTTTGACATAAGAATTAAGGTGTTCGTTGCCTACTTTTGTGATTTGAACAATCGCATTAATGTAAAAGTATGCCGCGCATTTTCATTATTCTTGTCTTTTAAACAGAGTAAAAGTATGCAGTGTAATATTAAATATGTAAACTAGAGTACCTAATGCTAATTCTTTTTACCTAGGATTGTAAGTAGCCAAAGAAGCAAAATTGAACTTCTTTTTCATTAATTAATTAATTAATATTTAGATTCTTACGTATTGGGGAAAGTAAATTAAATAAAAGTGTGTTTTTCTGATGTGAATAAAATACATAAAAGATGAACTTGAAAACGGACTGCCATTATCATATAAAGAATATTTTTATAATTATGTCTGCATATGTCGGAAACTCCCGGACTAATTCATAGCATAATCAAGTTATTTCGGTTAAAAATAATTAACATCGACGAAAGTTATATTTTTATTAATACTTGCTCTTAAATGTGATTAGGTGGTAATAGTAGAATTATGTAAAGTTCAGCATGTCCAAGATACTAGTTAATTCTCTATTGTTTTGATTGTTCTATTAGATTAACTAACAGTTGCAAATAACTTTTCTCGAATATTCCCAGTTTTGAAATAAATACCACAAGTAGCGTTGAAATAAAAATTGTCCTCATAGCTTTGCCACAAAAATGTAGTTACAAAACCACATTACAAGACAAAGCGGCAAATGTCAAGGCCAAGTCGTAAAACAATCGAATAACAATGACAAACTTTTGGTGCTTTTTCAAGCGCAACAGTGTGAAAAAATATGACAACAGCACCAAGCACAACAATATTTAAAAAAAAAACATAAAAATAAATCAAAACAAAAAGTAAAATCCCAATTTGAAGAAAAAAGTTGTGTCAAACAACGAAATTACATGCCCAAAAGATTGGACATGCCAAAATGTTGGTTGTCAGGCGCATCCAGCGAAACGTTTGAATGCATTCGCTTGCTGGTCGCTTGGTCGGTCAGTTGTTTAGTGGGTTAGTTAATTAGTTGGGCTGTTGGCTGGGGGTTGTTTGCTGCATTGGACATTGAACCACATTTGTGTGACGGACTGGACACAGCAAATAACAACTCCAATGACCTTAAAGTGCTCACATTAACGTGACATTCACAGCACACAAAATGCACATATTCAAAGTCGAAGCTGATATACGATTATGCATAGCCATAGATATCGCCGTATCCATATCCATAAAATGTTTCGAGTGCAGTAGCCTAATGAAACAAATTCATTGAGAACATTTACGATACCGCTGGACAAAAAGATATAAGCTCTAAATATATGTATATCAGTAATTTGACTAATGCAATAATTTCTAAATATTTTCAAACCCGAAGAGGAATTTATTTTATTATTTTTCCATTTATTTCTACTTATACTTCATCTGCAAGAAAGAGGAAAAGAGGAACAGAAATGTAGATAAATTATTTAAATACATTTTTTTTACTTATTTCGCATGCACTAGAAAATTTTGAAGATTCAGTTTATAAATAAATAGAAAGGAATATTCAGCTGATATAAAAAACCGCCTTTTTTGATGTAATAGATTAACAACAAGCAATAATTAAGCCAGTAAGTAATATAACAACTGGTATTGCACTTTAAGAGAGAATTGGATCAAGTTCGAGCGTTGCTGGTTGGCTTTTTACCCAATCGGCGATTTATGTTGACTGCCTTCAGCGCATTGTGGAACATGAATTCAAGTTGATTTTTGTATTTTTTGTTTCTTTAGAGAACGAGACTGAAATATTTTGATTTATGCGCACGGATCTTGGCACGGATCTCAAGACCGATCGAGAATGGCGCAACTGCTGACGGTATGAACTCAAATTAAATGCTAATTAGATGGCAAGACGGCAAACGGATCTGGCACAACAATAACTATAACTAATGATGTAATTAAAAACAGAACAAACTAAGTATCAGCTAATGATTTTATGTAACAGCTGAAACAGAACTCGAATTCGAATTCAGATTTAAAACGCGAAACGCGAAACTGAAAGTGCATTCAAGTTGCTTGCATTGTGTAACGCACCGCATCGACTCGGCGACAACAACAACAGCAACTTTAGCTCTATTTATGGCCAAGACAAAAACCGGCCCAACTTCTTGTTTGCGACTGCATCCGCAATGTTTCTAAACGGCCGAAACGGCGTCCAAATAAAAAAGCAAAAGCAACAACGACTGCAAATAAAAAAATAACCCAAATAACGAAGTATAAAGGAAGCTGTGCTCTATATTTTTGCCTCAATGCATTGGTTGATGTCGTCTCGATTTTGCTGTTTTTGTTGTTAGTCTTTTTTTTTTTTCAGTTTACACGCCAGTGGCGCTTAAATGATTTGCGGCTGACCACAACGATCATGCGCAAATGGCCAACAGGGCGTATGCTTGATGCCTGGCCATTTAAGCACAATCACACATGCATATATACAAATAGGCTGGCCAGATCGATCGTTTGGGCGACAGCTGCTGCAACATTTTGGCATTTTGACATATCAAGTGAAAATTTAGTCGATTTCCGACAGCCGACCAGTTTTTGTTGATGCTCGCCTCGCCTTTTGACTAAGCAAAATAATCAAACACAAAAAAAAAATAGACAATGAAACAAAAAATGAATGTGCATAGATTAAAGATAAAATTAAAATAAATCGAAAAGTTGTGTTTTTATCAACACATGGGAAAGTCGAAAATAATAAAGGGCTTAACTGATGGACGTAGCGGACGTGTGAAGGCTAATCAAAAGCCTGACTGTATTTCCTGCTTCTGTATTCAAATCAAAGGCATAAATTTGTTGTATTGAATTAAAGTAAATGCCAATCAGATTTTTTTTATTTTATCTAGGATTTGAGATTTTAAATATTTGCTTAAAATGTACATATTAATTAAAATCAATTGATAGTTTTGTAGAATTCTGCTGGCAATAATTAATTATTTCCAATTTTTCTTTAAGTATTTTATTTTCGACTATTGGATCTCTTAGTGACAGCTGCTAATATGCGCATAATTGATGGATAATTATATATATAGTTTCTATCTAATCTGAATTTCTGAATCTAATTCTAATTATAATTCTATCCAATCTGAAAATCGGAATAATTTCCTGGCTTCACTTATCCCTGCCTTATCTATTGTATCTGTTTTTTCCACTTTTCTTTCCTTTCTTATATATATCAGCTAATCACATATTTAAGACATTGAATAAACGCCTTAACTTTTTAAGATTAAACACATTATCATTAAATATTTAAGTAATTTAAAAAATATTTCCTTAGTCATTAGAATAATATCAATTCGCAGCATTCTGCAAATCGCATCCATCTTGTGTATATAACATTCTCAGGTTAAGTTTTTTTTTTCCACACGCTTGGCAATTTTCTCAAGACTATTTCCTAAGTGACTATGTGTAGCTGCAATCCACTGAAGATCTGCATATGTGTAGCATGCATCATATAAGAGCTGCTGCAGTATGGCACAATTGTGTGAATTATCGCATGGCAAAAAGACAATAAGAAAATCTAGCCCAAAAAAATGTAGACCTCGTGTCGGCTTTCTGTTTGTATTGTGGCTGTAATAATCTATAATTATATTAGCTAATTTTATGCCGTCTTTTCGCATATTGGATTACAAACGAAACCAATCATCTGATCAAGTGGTTAGGCCTTCCAAAAACAATCACAAATACACACATGCAGACAATTGCCCATAAATCAGCAGGTAACAAATGCTGAGCTTGTGGTGCACAGAGATAGACAAATAGTTAGAGAAGCGGGGAGATGGTCGGGGAGAGAGGATATACTCCAATGCATTGCAGTTATTGTTGTCGTTATAATCAATGAATTACGTCGCATCGGCTGCATCGGTTGACCACAATTTATGGCGATGGCAAACATGAGAATCCGAAATACGAAGCACAAAAACTGCAAATGCAACTGCAACTGCAGCAGCCCCACTCAGGCAACTGCATGGTAAGAGAGGGAATGCGCCGCCAGAAGGGGAGTGGCTGCAATGAGCAGTCGCAGTCGCAGTCGCAGTCGCCTGGCTCTTATGTTGCAATCCGGAGCACATGCAACTAAGCGCCCAAGTCGCATGCCAAGTCACAGCAAACCGATAGCAACCTCCACATCCACAAGCACCACCGCCTTCACCACTGACTGCCCCCGTTTGGTGCCACAAAACGCCGGCATCTCTCAATTGTAACTCGCATCTGTTGGGTTCGTTGTCTGACAGAATCGTAACATTTCGTTGTTTTTGTTGCTGTAGTAGTTGCTGTTGTGGGCAGCTGCACTGGTTGCTTGAATTGGTTTTTGGCTTGGTTCCATCTGGTCGAACATAGAAAACGACACATTTTGAAAAAGTAAAAGTTGACCATTTTGTTCATTTTGCGCCTTTAAGTGGATGCTACCAATGTTATATATGCGAACACTCTTGCCAAATGCCTCAACACATCGAAACTTCAATCTTTCAAGCCATTTGAATCTAATGTTCAATATAACTACTCCGTAGATGTATTAGAACTATGTTTTATTTTTTAACAACTGAAGCTTGAATGTGCAACACAAGCTCACTCCTTGAGAATTATTACTTTATGAATAGAAACATAGGAAATCGTCATTGATTTGAATGAGATATGTCAAATTGTCATTACTAATTAATTTATTCTTTAAGACGTGTTCTGTTCTATCTCACACAGAATCCAAATAGGTTTTAGTAAACAGCTGAAACTAGTATTCGAACTATTATTGATTTTTAACGATTTTTGGCAATGATGAAAATTGTCAATATTGATAAGCTAAAAGCCAATACAAACATAACAAAGTTTTATAGGTTGTAAGATATATATATTTCAGGAACTTGAAACATCACATCTGTAAATCTGGGTTCTCATTTGAATTAAAAACCATAGAAAACAGCATTCCAAAATAGTTCTGGTTTTTATCACATCGAATTCATATTAGAATCAATCGTAACATTCATAAAGATAGCCTTTTGTTAACTTGCTTTAAAATTGATGCCATTAATTACGAATCAGATCAGAAATAACTTGATACCATTGAATTTATATTCAAACTGTGAACATCTTCCACTTTAAATTATAACATTCTAGTTTTGAAAAGTTGTTTAATACGCCCAACAAGGTCGCTTTAAAATAGGATTTGTATTGTCTATCCTATTAGAAATCAATTATAGAATCTTTTCAACAACACAATAGAAAATGCAAATCTATGTTTATATGCGCAATCTCGAAAATTAATACTGATCTCAACTGGTTTAAATTTTGTTGCGTATAAAAAGAAGAGAAATACCTAAGCCAACAATTGCCAAATCGCAGCAATGCATCTGATATATAATCACATCTGCGCGACCCATAAAGGCCTTTCACTTTTGCGGCACGCATTGCACACAATCCCAATGCCCTCCTCCTCCTCCACCTCCCTCTCCTTGACGACTCAACCGCCAATCAGCCGCTGTGGCAGCTTTAGTAGCTACTTATGCCTGTTTGCCTGACATCCAGATATGCTTGCAACATACTAATTCAAATTAGAAACACGATCTCTATGCTGCCACATGATGTGTTGTAGTTGCATTTGTCGAACCATAACTGCCGCGTGCGTGAAATACGCAATATGCGGTTCGCCGCATCAATCATCAAATGGTCCTATGCCGCTGGCCCTTATCATATATCCAGCTACATGCAAGGTATGTGGACAAGCAGTTTCCGCTTCCAATTTGGTCAAATGCACGAAGAACTACACTTACAGAAAATATAAACGCTTCACCATTGAAATCTTATAATCATAAATATTATTTTAATTAATTTTGAAAAAAATTAAAAGCATGAAGCAGTTGAAAGCAATATTCAAATTTAAATTTCCACCTGCGAGAAACTTAAGTGTTTGCAGATATTTATAAATATATTTTACAGGTTTCAGAGTCACAACATCCCAAATAAATTATGAATGTTTATGTAAATAATTCTAAAAGAAAAAACCTGCATAATCATATGCATAAATAGGGGAATTACAGAATTAATCAGACTTTTCAGTCCATGCCATTATTTTTGAATATTTTTCTTTTAAATATTTTTTGAATTTAGGTGTAATTAAAAAAGTGTTTGTAAAAGCCGCTGATGTAGTCATAATTAAGACAACACAAGCATTTCAACAACAATCGAATCGGGTGCCTGTGTCACCGGTTATGCAATAGAATTCAAAGACAGATATTCAAATAAGAATGGAAACGTGTCACTTTTCGTAAGCGATCTCAAAATTTAACAAATTTAATTGCATCACAACGAACAAAATAAGTAATAAATTTTTAGCTATTCTTAATTTTGATATAAATCAAGCGTTTTAATATTATTAATATAATGTTCTAAAGCTGTTAAGCAATAAATCTATCCATTATCCAAAATAAACACAAGACAATATAATTTCATATACGATTGTGGGTTTTTCCCGCTTGGCTGTGTCTCGATTCAGGTTCCTCCCCAAAACGAGCAAAAAACTGAAATCCGTAAGAAGTTCTTTAAAAACTGTTCTGAACTAATCATTGACATTTGTCTCGATACGAATATACTTTTTCTGCTTGCATAAGGAATTTCTTTGGAATTCCCCAGAATATATTATTTTTGCTAACCGAAGGTAATTAATACTTGACGCAGACAGTTATAATGGCTCTAAAGTTGATCAATTTTGAAAATCTTGAAATTCAACCATTCGCCAAACTAACACAGCCGCAGGGGAGCGATGGTTGCACTGGTATTGGTAGTGCGTCTTGGTAGTAGTGGGTGCTTCCGTTGACAACAATCCGAGCAAAACGCATACAAGCACAACGCACCAATACTACTGCAGCTGAACTCAACTGGGGAGCTTTGAAGAGAGCGCTCAAGCCACTCTCGGCAAAAAGCTTTTTCATGACGGCTCTCTATTGACTTGGCGCGAACTGAGCTTGGCGGCGATTTCAGTTTCGTTTTGACACAAAAACTCTTTGGGGGTATAAAAGTGCGCCACTGACCACAGACAGCATCCAGTCAAAGGTTTGGAATCGTGTGTGATTCTACAATCCTTTCAATATAATTTCTGCGTTGCTCGTAAGTGTTGGCAAACGATCAAAGTTTCTGCAAATGGTTTTCAAAATGATTGTGCTAAAGTTAAATAACAAATTTGCTGTTTTTCAAAGTGAATTGAATTGTGTTAAAGTAAAATATTCCAAATTGTAAAATAATATGTTAAATATGTGCTATGATTTTTAGTTTGTTAGTTTGTTTTCTGTTTATTAACATGCAAACAATTTTCTATTATTTATTTACAGCCTTGGCGAGTCCAAACACACTTCACGATGAAAGTATTTGTAAGTAACAATAACAATTACATATGTCTTATTAATTATGTGCAATTATTGCGGTTGAGAATCATTCAGTTATTTATTTAAATGTGAGAAACATAGCTTTGATTATCAATTGTAAATCGATTCAAGTCAACTCCCACATAGATTAAGTAAAGCATTTCTAAGTGGCCTGTATATGATGATTATAATATTATTTATGAGCAGCTGTAAAACTTGTCGTTAGCTTTGGGTGTTTGACCGCCCCATTCACTTCCTGTCCATAAATTGCATAATACATGTACACGTACACAATTTATATCGGCCAAAATAGCAAAACAATATTATAAACAAATGACAAACTTCAACTTGAATCATCGCAACTAGCAAATAATCAGCAAAAGCGAATAAATGAGTAATGTCCACAATTAACCACAGACCGACTATAATCAAACTAAGCCAACAACTAATCAATTATGACAAACAAACAAACACACAACTTACGGTAAATGCACTGAAATCCGCTCGCTGCGCATGCGTGACGTATACATTTGTATGTTGGCTCGCATTTTGTCACATGTGAGGGGGACGCGTGCGTGGGGCAGGACAGGCAAGTCTGCATCGCATTACGGATGCGTTGCACGCGTGCGTTTCACTTGACCATTTGAAAGCGACAAGTCGTCGCCACAATTTGTAGCCAAATGGGCGACATATCTTTCGTCGAATAACTTTCTAATCTGATTACCTAATTCAATCGCTATCAAATATTGCATAACTAGAACCAGTTTTGAATTGTAAATGAAATTGTTTGTTATTTTTTTTGTTTTGGCTTGCTTTAGTTCTGTCTAGCCGCTCTGCTAGTGGCTTCAGCCTGCGCCACAGATGTGCCGCTGGAGAAGAAGCTGGATAAGCGCGGTCTGCTCGAACTGGGCTATGGCTACGGTCATGCTGGTCTGGATGTTGGCCACATTGGTCAGGGCTCCGTCATTGGCCATGGTGGCAGCTACGGCTCCTATGGACACTCTGCTCCCGCTGCCATTGCTGTGGGACACAGCGGCTCTGGAATCTCTTATGGCCATGGCGGCGGTGGTGGTGTCTCCTATGGACACAGCGGTGGTGGCATCTCTTATGGCCACAGCGGTGGTGGCATCTCTTATGGCGCACCCGCCGTTGCCGTTCATTCTCATGCAGTGCACGCTCCCTATGTGATCAGCCGACAGGCAGAGCTCCACAAGACCATCTACGTGACCAAGGGTATTCCCGTGCCCGTGCATGTCGACCGCCCCTACCCAGTTGTGCATGAGAAGCGTGTGCCCGTCGAGGTTAAGGTGCCCGTGCCACAGCCCTATGAGGTCATCAAGAAGGTTGCCGTCCCCGTCAAGGAATACGTGAAGGTGCCAGTCCCAGTGCCACAGCCCTACGAAGTCGTCCGTCACGAGAAGGTGCCCATTCATGTGCCCGTCGACCGTCCAGTGCGCGTTGAGGTGCCCAAGCCATACCACGTGACCGTCGAGAAGCCCTACCCCGTCTACGTCCAGAAGGTAGAGAGGGTGCCCGTCCAAGTGCCCGTCGATCGCCCATACCCCGTCTACGTGAAGGTGCCCCATGTCTCGCACTCCGTTGTGAAGCACGCACCAACCTACGCCATCAGCAAATACCCTGACACCGGCTTCGCCGTCGGCGGTTCAGGTTACGGCGGTGTCGGTCATGGTGTCGCTGTCGGTCATGGTGTCGCTGTCGGTCATGGTGTCGCTGGTCATGATGCCAGCGTCTACTCCGACCATTCTGGCTACCATAAATAGAGCGGTTTTGCGAAATCTATTGGAGCATGGCGGACTTACCACAATATGAGCCGAATCAAATTTAGCTACATTTTTTTAATTCTGTCCAACAAAAATTAAGAAAACGGAAAAAAAACACTATCACACGGTCTCTGCGCTCCCTACATAATTTCCAAGAGGTTCTAGTAGAACTTCCACCCTGCCACTCTTTTAGCTTCTAAGTAAAAAACACCCCACAGGAAGAACAACAAAAACCTTTTGTAAATTATTTCCAAAAACCATCAAATGGAGCATTGTTATGTATGAACTTAAAGATTAGGATAATGCTCAGTTAAGTGTCTATAAAAGAATTATGTAATTTTATAGACATTTTAGCTGTTGCTGTTTATCAGTTAAAGGTTTCAACGTACAATGAATGAAAAATGTATAAAAAAATATATAAAAAATGTTTTAAGAAATAAAATTGTATAAAATAATCAATATGGAGTTCTTATTTTAATATCTTTCAGCTGAACTATTAATTTTTTCAATTAACAGAAGATAGTGTGAAGAATTCAGCATTGACTTCAACTGAAATCACCTTGCATTATTTGTAAAATTAAGTCTGGCTCTTGAAATTAATTTATATATCTTTAATAATAACATTTTGGAATGCGTCCTCGAAACTGTACAACCTAATAAACTCTTTGAAACCTAACCTAACCTAAATAAACTGTTACATAATATATATTTTAATCAGAAAATATTCCCAATCAGTTTGGGAATATTAACTGTTTAAGCCACTCAGAAGAAAAATGAAAACTAGAAAATTAAACAGATTACTAAAATGAATTATAACACTAAAGGTTTATTGAAAAATAAAACATTTCGTCTGAATTATTTTATTTTAGAAATTTATTGAATATTTTAAATATATGTACATGAATATTTTAATTTTATTTATTTAACGAATCGATTTTAACGAACGGGACTGAATGTCTGATTTTTATGCTTCGACTGGCATTCTAAACATATTAATATTGTAAGCTACTTTGATTTAGAGATCATAAATTACGTTTTATATATCCATATATCCATTCAATGTGGAGTCCTCTCACTCTGCCAAAGCCCCAATCAGACAATTTAAATTGACTTTAAACTGACCCAGTTTCAAGAGGCTTAGTGGATCAAGGGATTGCATGTAATTGCCACTGAGGGATTACGTATTTTTATAGCCACACGATCCATAAATGATAAGGTGACGCGCGTGTCGCAATATCTCCAGTATCTTGATCACCAATGCGTAATGCATTTCATCTGACAGGTGCAAGGCCGCCGCAAGAGTCGCCACAGCTCCCGATTTCTCGCCGCGGGGATTCAACTAAAGGTCAGGGGACAATAACGACTGCCTTAAGCGGCCGTAAATTTTAATAACACTTAAAGAAAACAAGAGCAGACGTAGACACTTCTCATGTCATTTATGGCAAATGTCGGGTTTTTCTGTCACATCTCGCAGAATAACAAAATTTCAACCTTCACAAGCAACTGCTGTCAAGTTCTATGAGCGAAAGGTAAACACTAATTTTAATTGACCATAAAAATAAAAAATAATAAAAATAGAAACAGTTGGATTGTTTGTTTGTTTGTTTGTGTTTGAATTTTGATAAATTGAATCATTTTAAAATTTTGGACTGTTTTGCATTTTCCACTTGGGTTTTTTTAAAACAGAAATTAGAAGTTGAAATCTGCCGAATTTGAAACCGGTCTAATTGGAACAATTTAATGGGCGGTAAAAGAAGCGCTTTTGTAAACGCGATGACCATATATCAAACATCTAGCGCAAATTTGTGGTTTTGTTTTATAGAGGGGTCAAAGCCCCCGCTCACGCCTCTTCGCATATGCTCAAGGACTTTGATGACGGAACTAACGTCAAACAACTTTCTAATAAAAAAGTCAACTGACTCGTCAGTTACCGATTAAATTTCTGATTTGATTTTCTTACGATTTGTTACTCGGTCTCAAACCCATGTAGCTAGATCAATCGATGGCAAAGAGCCGCATTAGAACCAGTTACCAGACTCAAGAATTCACAACAGCTGAAGGTCGTCGGCTTTACAGCTCCATTAAAAAGGAGGCGTGGCATTTAACTTTGGCTCTAGCTTATTTTTCACTGCACTTGTAAGCACCTTCAATAATTTAATTGAATTACTAGTATTATTTGTGTATTTTTATATGCTTACCATCATTTGTTACTTGCTCTGAAAGCCTTTGTCTGACAGTCTCGTAGGTGTTTCGACATTTGCTTCAATTGGAATTATCTGTGCTTTTGGGTTGTGCAACCGCTGTACCGCAATTACCAAGCGGATCTTTCAATGCATAAGTAATTTTGTAGGGCTTAATTATAACAAATTAAATAATATAAGAATGCAGCTCGTAACTTAAAGCAATTAAAAAATTGAATAGAAACAAACCACTTCAATGACAGCAATTAAAATGATAGAGAGGAAGGTTGACTTAAGTCGGTTAAAGTGTTAACAGATGGTTTTTTATCGTTTCCATATAATAAAGGCAGATCATATTCATCAACGCATTCCGCTTAAGTATTTACCTAATATAATAAAGACAATCTATGAGTCAAATGATAAAATAAAATCTTCGGAATATAAACATCATTAAAATATGAATAACCCACATATTGTCCGAAAAAAATAACATAAATCAAAACTGAGGATTTTAACTATCATGCTCTGGATGAAGTACAAGCAGACCCTGATTTCTCGGCATGGATGAACGATTGCGGCATTTACACAATTATTACTTTAAGCAAAGGCCACCCAAACCGCTGAGACAAGCAAACAAATTGCAGCAATCTGCCACAGAGATTTGCGTGGTAATTAAACCCATATTTTTGCCTTATTAAGGGGAGCAAGGGGCGTGGGTGGAGGCGGAGTGCGGACATACGCATATTCGGTAGAAATTAATTAATTGCCACAAAATGACAGAGACGACGACGACGACAACGAAAAAGCAAAGGAAAAACTCGAAATGTTATTTTTCGCAATTTAAGTTTTTTTTTGGTATTTTGCTTTGTATTTTATTTTGTTGTTTTGCTTGGTTGTGTCTGAGAAAAAGCTCGAAAATACGTTGCACATTTTGCAAGAGCGACATTTGGTCTAATGAGCGGTTTTGCGATAGTGCTATGAACTGATCTAGACAACGACTTTTGGAGGTCATCGCCGTCGTCGATGACGTCCATCCAATTGAAGCTAAATGTGTTAGCTGTTGTTGTTAAATTGCGAAATGAATTTGGCTACGTTTATGGCCAAAAAATGCAGCGACAAATGCATAGCATAAGCGCGCGTCAGTTGGCAGCCAAAAAGACCAAAGCTACAAGTTGCACCAGTTTTGATCAACAACAAAAAGCAAGAAAAAAATTAAAAACTTGAAGCGATACGAAATCGTTAAAAACGTAATCGAAATCAGCCTCCGCAAAAGCATTTGCTGCAATTCCGTTGCCCTCCTCCAAGTCAAGTGAAGCAGCAAGCGGCAACACACTGTGGCAATCTCAAAATCCCTGCTATGCCCCTCACCTTCCTGCACATGTGTATGTATGTGTTTCTGTGTCGTCTTTGGGATTCTTTGGTTACCCTGTATTTGGCTTTATGCTTCGCTTGGCCAGCTTCGGGTGCCGCAAACTATGCATCTCATGTGTTTTTTTACCATTTTTTTTATATTTTTTATGGAGCAATTGAAGTCGTTGACACGACAAAATGCCACTGAAGTTGAACTGTGCTGAGTGCAAAGAATGACAATTATTCAAAGATGTAACAGCTATATTTAACATAAGATAGAATTCACGTAAGAGTTATATCTATGTAGGTATTATTAATGAGAATATGTTTTTTTCTTTTTAAATTAAAATTATAAACTGACAAAATAATAAATATATTTATATCAGTGAATATTATAAGAAATAGATTTCAGTTTTTTTTTTAAACAGAATGTTTCTTTATCTTTTAAAAATATTATTTAGTGGAAGATATTTGATATGTATTTTTCCCCCCTTTTTAAATATGTATGTAATTGAATCCATTCGTATATATTGCAATTGATAGTAAAATGAATAGCAGACGTCCTATGCTGTTAATTGAAAGAAAAACGAAGAGAATACAGCATATTCTGTTAATTTTTCATTCAATTACTGCAATTACGTGGACTACTTATATTTTAATGAGTATATTTGCATTGCTATCATTTCCTCTCTTTGAAGTCTTCCAAGTTAATGGTTAGATGCAATATTTGACCTCGAAGCGGTCATAAAAGAAACGTGCGTATGCGAAACTATCGGCCATCGAGCGTAATACATCAAAGCATTAATTTCTCATGGCATGCATTCAAATTGCAACAATTAAGTCAGCCATAAAAACTACCGCATCGCATCACAGCTTGACTGTTATGCAATTGTGCTGCCTACTTGGCTACTTTTGGTCATTTGGCATATCATTTTTCTACAGACACATTTGCACCAAATCCCGCTGTTGAAAACGACAAAACTTTTCCTTTGTACATTATCCCGCCACGGAATATGAATTATAGCGCCAAATTGCAGCGGGCGAAACACTTTTCAAATGGGGTGTGTCGGCGATGCCTTAAGTGTAACGATGCCACTCATACACATACAATCACTTTACACACATACGTACACAAATTTACAGCATCTGATCCTTTCACCTGCTGCGCAAAACAAAAGACTTAGGCAACGAACTCGATTTGCCATTTTGTGTATTTCCGTATTGAGAGCTTTTTTTTGACAAGCAAACAGCACTCCTTCAAGTTCTTTATCTGAGCGTTTAAATTATTGTCAATTGTGCAGCTAATACACCTTTTTAGGGTATGCCCAACATCTACAGGCACTTGCAGAGTAATTGAAAGCGACATATCTCAAAAGCATCTCTGGCTTCAAGCCAACTTAAATAGCCAGGCGAACGGTTGCAGCTTCCCAAATGTGGCGAACATTTGCCTCTCAACTACTAACTGCCTACTACCAGTTCACCCAAAATCTGCTACTGCTGCCTCCGCTGCTGAATCTGGCTATGCCACTGCTAGCAGCTGTCCGCATCGCAAATGTTGCATAATTTGAGTTTTCTTCAAAGTTGTGGCATAGTTGCATGTGTTGTTTTGTTGCTGTTTTGGAAGTCACCCAGTTAGTGTGTCACTATGGCATTTGAGTTAGCCAGTTGTTGTTTTGTTATAGTTGCTGCTACTAGTATTGTGAACCTCTTTGTCTCGAAAAATTTTGATATAAGTAATTTGATAATTCATGTTGTCATCCATTTTTGTTGTCTTTGCAGTTGAACAGATCAAACCCAATGTGACGTTAATTTGCATTGAATTATTTACATCACTAAATGGGCGTGGTTCAATGATATACCAGAAAATCGATTTGAAATACAAAAAAAATATATATATTTATAACTGAATGCTCTGCTTAGCTAAG